TCTACATACACATTGTTTATAATAAACAGCAGAGTGGAATTTGCTCACACTGTTACTAGTACTACATACAAAATATTATTGTATCAGTCATTCACATGTGAAATAATATATGTTGGTCTCGGGCCCGCACCAGAAGTACGAAACCAACCAAAGATTGCCACGTAATCAAGATAATGGCCCACAAAGGACGAAGCCTAATGGACCCATGAGCCGAAGAAGCGGTCGAAGTGGTCGTCACCACTTCGAGAATCCGAAGTGAATGCACTGTGACACGAGTTCGATGTAGAAGACATGGGTAAGTCGGTTCAAGGGCACTTGGGCCAAAAGAGGCGAGGCCCATGAAGATCAGAGTCAACTCAAATTCAAACGTTGAGCATTAAAGCCGAAGAATCAAAACGGACACATTTAAGAAGAAATAATTGTACTTAATTGCTCATTTTAATGTCGTTTATCTATGTATAAATATAGAGGCCAATGGCCATGTAAAAGGGAGCTTCCTCTAAAGAGAGAAATAATATAGTAATTTTCGTATCAATCTATAAGTTTTTACATATTCATTTTTGTCCCTCAAGAATAATCTTTCCCACTTAACAAAATACTTGAGTGTGTGAATCCGACATCCACATTTTGGCGCCGTCTGTGGGGATATTAAGTTCTTGAGTGGTCAGATTTTTTCTAAATAATTGTTGTTTTATTTGAAATATAATTGGTATTACGTGTGTAATTAACTGGAACTAAAAAAATTGGTATTTTATTTAAAATATGGATAGAAAATTTCTCAAAAAAATGGTACTGTCTTGTTTTTTTTGTTCAGTTTTGAGTTTTTTTCTTCTCTTTTTTTAACTTTTTCTAATTGTGTGTCGTCATTCGAGTCCCAAACTGGGAGAGGAAACGAGTCATTTGGGATGTTATCGACATAAGTATATATGGGATGTTACGAGAAACTTTTCATTGTTGGATGGAGCTCAAATTTGGAATAATATATGCTAGAAATTTGAGATAGTTTTATTTGGAGGTGGTTTGAGGTCATTCAAATGGTTGAATTGATAGTTAAAAAATATATATATCTGGCCAAATATGGCGGAGCTAGGATACTGAGCTGCACAGTGCACAGCACACCCTTGCTCCAGACCGGTATGGAGGTATCACTCATGGCCTCTTCATGTATTTTATCTTCTTAATTCTTTTTTTTTGCTATTAAACCTTATTTTCTTGTATTTGAAAGAAATACCTTTCTATCTATTGCCTCTCATAATGTATTCCAAAATCTTGTAAACACTTGAAAGGAGAAGATAGATAAACATGTTGATTTATCAGTTGGATTTTCATCTAGATCACCCTAAGAGCTAAAACTTGATATTGATCACTCAGTTTTAGATCCTTGTTTAATGTCTTTGTGGTAGATGTAATAATTTTTTTGATTGGAATGTTGTTTCCGTACAACCTTGTACCTTTTTGCAAATACTTTTACTTTTCCTAATATGAGGACTTAAAGCCCAATCACTCTTTAACGGTTTTCCTTTTGATTTTTATGACTAACATCTGATGCTCAAAATATAAGCTATCAACCATAACGAAACATTTGTGCTCACATTTTCTTTTTGTGACTCCTTCCCTTTTTTCTTCACAACTACGTAATTAAAAGTGCTAACTTTTGTTTTTCATTTTTCCACGATAATTGAAGCAGCTAGTTACTCATCTACAGCAGCTGAAGAGTGGTGAGGGAAACTAGCCCAGACGTCTTGCCACGTCATCTTCCCCTCTGCGACTGAGCTAACCACGGAAGCTGCCTCCTCTAAGCTGACTCGAACTTGGTCTTTGCTGTCTCTTTCTCTGATTGTCACTGATGTGTCCGAGTCCACTGTTATTGCCAATGGCACTCCAAGCTCATCGGTTCTCGCGTATCTCTTCCCGATCGATGTACCTGTTCACACATGTAAATCTTCACTCGCTCTCCTCCATTTCAAAATATTAAGAACTTGTAATTGTCAAATTGTTTACATACCAGTGATGTCAATCTTATGTGAGATGCCAACAGAAGCTAGTTCCTTGGAAATAACTTTGGCTGCTTCCTCGAATTGTTGGTTCTGAACAAGCGGGAAAACCGTGCACTTGATGGGTGCTACAAGAGGAGGGAAACGGAACACATTCAACTGTTCATCACCTGTTTTGCTTCGTCTTGTGATATGAAACAGTGCTCATACAAACAATATATGATCCGACCAATCCCAAATGATGGTTCAATCACTGAAGGAGTGAAAACCCGCTGGTGCTCTTTCTTTTTCTTCTGTGAGATTGACACCATATTCTTCTTGATGCTCACGTTTTTCTCTAGGGTACATACGTAAAACTCTACTTCCCCTTTGGATTCCAGAGTTGCTTTCATCTGCATAGCTTCGTCTTCATTCATCGCCTAACAAAACATTACATAAAGCATCACCATCAGACAAAGAAATATGTTAGTAAAACAATGGAATTCAGTCACTCTACCTCTAAAGATTCAACCACATTCTTTTGATTTCCCTTGAACGCAAGACCAAGTTCTTTCTTCACAGGAGTAATCACAAGTTTCTGAAATAACAGAGAACCCATATTAAGGACAAGTTATAGAGACAGAGATAAAAATATGGATTAGAATACCTCTACTTCTTTAGGTTCTGCAAGTTTCTCTTCAGCCACAAGAGGAACGCCACTTTTTTCCTGCCATACAACAATGGATCCATAATCTACTTTAGTAAATTAAGATAGGAATACCTCTGGGTTTTAACCATCAATTCTCTAGCTGTCATATGAAATGACGAAAATAGAAGTAAAAGGTGAGTTTCTTACTGAGTGGGCACATAAGTCGAATGCAGACCTATCTGCAATCCCAACACATTCAATCCACCCATATGAACTCTCAATTTCAGCATCCCAACAATCTGCAGCATAGTGGGCCATTTCATTTGCTAGATGCTGGCGGAAACGCAACCGTTCCTTGTCTATGCCAAGACGGACAAGGAAAAGATACACTCTCCCAATGAAGTAGCCTAGAGTTTCATTGTTCACAGTTCCCTATTCGAATACAGTTGCAGGCATCAATAAGAAATCACAAAAAAGTTCTGTGGGAGTGCTTAGTAGAATTAAGTAGGCGCAGATGAGTACAGATACTGACCTTGGCAACAGCTTCGCCAAGGCAAAATTTTTTGGCAGATTGGCCAGACATTTGTTCCTCTCTTGGAAACATCAGGAATTCCAATTTTGCTACCTCAGAGAATTTCAGATGTGACTTATTCTCAGGATCAACAAAATGCTCAATTTCTGCCAGAGTGAATTCACGAACTCTAAGAAGCCCTTGACGAGGAGATATCTGCAAGTAATATGCTACTTATTGAACCCAAGACATAATAGAAAAAAGAGTCCCTTAAAGAAGATTGAGATAAACACATCCAATCTACCAAGCTAAGTAATTGCAAAAAAAAAAACAAATCACCTCATTTCTAAAGGCCTGACCAATTTGAGCAGCAGCAAAGGGAAGTTTTCTCCCATTGTAGTAATACAAGTCCTTAAAGTTCACAAAAATGCCTTGTGCAGTTTCAGGCCGCATGTAACTGACACACAATAAAAAAAAAGAAACTTGATCAAAAACCAAGGACTTAACTAGCTCAAGAACACTTACAACATGAATAAAATACTCACCCGGGACTCGAACCAGATGGACCAATGGATGTTTGAAACATCAAGTTAAACGGATAAGGATCAGAGAGAGGGTTCTTCGTGTCTGGAGCAGTAATCCCATACTCCTTAATCTTAGCACCAAGCTGTTCAGTAGAAAAATCTTCCATGACAGCAAGAACATCCTTCAATTCAGCAGCTTTCTCACCCGAGATAGTAAGATCTTTCTCTAACTTCTCGTTACAATAATCCTTAAGCAAGTGATCCGCACGGTAACACGTCCCAGTTTTCTCATCCTTAACCATAAGATCAGTAAACTTATCTACATGTCCAGATGCCTTGAGAACAATCTCTGGTGTCACACATGGACAATCCACTTCTAGCATATTCTCCTCAAGAATGAAATGCTGCAAATAGAACCAAATCAATCCCGTATAAAGACCAACTCAACACAATCTCTACTCTACTCTATGAATCATGTCAAATTTTCCTCAATTACTACTCACATCCATATGAACAAACCTAACACAATCTCTACTCTACTCTATGAATCATGTCAAATTTGCCTCAATTTTCACTCACATCAATCCCAAATAAGAACAAAACCTAACACAATCTCTACTCTAATCATGTAAAATTTACCTCAATTTCTACTCAAATCAATCCCATAGAAGAACAAACCTAACAAAATCTCTACTCTACTCAATGAATCATGTAAAATTTGCATCAATTTCAACTCAATGAGAAATAAGAATGGTGTTGTTGCTTACTTGACGCCAGAAGCTAAGAACATTGGATTTAACAGCACAACCAGGAGGACCATAATCGAAAAGTCCGGCGACTCCACCGTAGATTTTGAATGAAGGAATATAGAACAAACGCCGCTCAAGAGTATTAACAACATTTTGTCGAAAAGCTTCACGGTTATGTAAACCATTTCCGATACTTGCTTGAAGCTGCTTCTCAACGGCGGATTTCTCAAGCTTCAATTTATTGAGCAGCTCAATAGCAGCATCGATCTCCGGTTTCGCTGCTCGCGAAGCCTTGAGAGCTCTGACGACATTCCCTTGAGCTTCGACGGAGGAAGATTTCTCCGATAACGATTCACGAAGAGTCTCCATTAGAATCTGATCGGAGCAATGTTAAATTTTTCTGTTTTAAAATTTATTTTATACAAAAATTTTGTAACAAAATTGCGTATTTATATTTTGACAAAAAAAAAAAAAAAAAAAAAAAAAAAAAAAAAAAAAAAATTGCGTATTTATGAAAACGGCGTCGTATGAGAGAATGATCAAAAACCCTAAAGAGCAAAGCACTTAAAACCCTCTCTGTTATATAAATAGTCTCTCAAAACCCTTTCTTCTTCTCTTTCATTTTTAGCTGCTCATAAACCCTAAAAATCCTCTCTTTCTCAAACTTTTTTCCTACCTCGATTCTTAGCTATGGAGTTCTGGGGTAATATTCTTCTCTGTTTCAGTCATTTAATCGATGTTTTTGTCTGAAGCTTATTGGGTTTTCTTAAAAATCTGTTTTTGAACTCTCTTCTGGCTGCTTCCTTGTGTGTGTAGCTTCATCTAGGGTTTACATAGAAATTATTATCTTGTATAGGAAATAGTGTGGTAGGGTTTAACTTGAAGCTGTTTATTGATACTCATGTTGATTTTTGTTATGTAATCAGGAATTGAAGTTAAACCAGGGAAGCCAGTTACAGTGACTCCTAAAGAAGGCACTCTTATCCACGTTTCTCAGGTTTAGTATCAAATATTATTATTGATTTGATTCTGGGAGTTTATAGAGGTTTAGTGTAAACAATCTTGGATCTTTCTTTGTTTAGGCATCGCTTGGAGAATGTAAAAACAAGAAAGGAGAATTTGTGCCTTTACATGTTAAGGTTGGTAACCAGAACTTGGTTCTGGGAACTCTATCAACTGAGAACATCCCTCAGCTTTTCTGTGATTTGGTATTCGAAAAGGAGTTTGAGCTTTCTCACACTTGGGGAAAAGGAAGTGTCTACTTTGTTGGATACAAAACTCCCAACATCAAATATCCTTTGATGATGTTTATTTGTACTTTGTTTTGGCTTTAGATAGTTTCTTATTGATTTGAGTTTCTATGGTTTCCTTAATTCTTAATCGATTGTGTTCTCACTGAGGGAGGAGAATACTTTTCTGGTGAGTTTGCAAGATAAATCTCTTTCAAATCAATTATTCTCTTTGTAACTGTAATATTTGCTTGGTTGCTGATGATTCGTTATGTGTTGTATTGACAGATTCAGAGGAAGAAGAGGAAGAGGTTGAAGAAGTTCCTGCCACCATTACTGCTAATGGTACTTAAACTAGGCAGAGACTACTTGTTGCCTTGATTTGTTTTCCGGATAATTGGTAATAACTAGTTCCATTTGCAGGGAATGCTGCTAAGGCTGTAGCAAAACCAAAGGCTAAGCCTGCAGAAGTGACTAAGACTGCAAAGCCGGTTGCTGATGCTGAAGAGGATGACTCTGATTCCGACGAAGGAGTGAGTTGCTATAGCTTTCTGTGATATGTCTTTTTGTTTACAGTAATATGTGTATCATACCATTCCAGAATAGTGAGTGAGGAGAGGTGGCATTTTTTTCAAGTAATGTTAGTGACACATTCTTGTGTTATGATTCTTTCAGATGGATGAAGATGATTCTGATGGTGATGACGATTCAGAGGAAGAAGAAGAGACACCTACTCCTAAGAAGCCTGCATCAAACAAGAAGAGAGCAAATGAAACTGCCCCTAAAACACCTGTGTCATCAAAGAAGGCGAAAGTAGCAGTTACTCCTCAGAAAACAGGTAAAGATATAAACCATTCTCTTATATTATTCACTGAATTTTGGAAACATAAGTACCCATCTGAACCTCTTTTGTCTTCTTTGGAACAGAGGAGAAGAATAAAGGTGGAAAGACCCCCAAGCCTGCTACCCAGAGCCCAAAGTCGGCCAGTCAAGTCTCCTGCGGTTCATGCAAAAAGTGAGACACTCTCTTTCTCTAACGTCCTCTTCACTGCTCAATATATCTGGTTCTAATAACATTTGCTTATCGGCTTATCTTTGTGGCAGGACTTTCAACTCTGGGAATGCACTTGAGGCTCACAACAAGGCCAAGCATTCTGCCGCCAAGTGAAGTGGTTTCTTAGAGCTTATCAACTATTCCTCTGTTTTGTGTTTTGAGTAGGATCATTATGATATCTTTGAAATTTTGCCTCTAGTCTTTATGAAACCTTCGGATTTTCATCCTTTTTTTATAACAAGTCTTAATGAAAGAGTGCCAATTGGAGTCTTATCTCCACTATATTTCAACATTCTATCTAGGCACAATTTGTTAATTTAGATTAGGTTTTCACCATTTTCTATTTCCACAACATTTTAAAAATGATCGGTCCTTTAAGCCAGCAACTAAGTTCATGAACAAAGATGCCCTGTTTTCCCATCCTTTGTTATCCGTATTACCGTTCTGTTGTTTTTGGAAAAGGCCACCTTCAACGCTCTTGATACTAAAGTGTATGTAGTAGATTGCATTACTAGACTTAAGCTTATGGCGCGGTTCTCTATCAGCTTTACGGGTTTCAACTTTCAAAACCTATCTTCTTGATCTTTACTGTTAAAGAAGACTTGAATTGCCCACTCTTCTTGAAAAGTTGCCAACTCTTCTTGAAAAGTGCAAATTCAGTAAATAAACAAAGCCAATCATTTTCACATATGTCCTGCTCCTGAACCTGTCAAAACATAACACATCCAAATTGCAGAAGAGTATATATCTCCAAGCGACTAGAGTAAACACAGAGATGGTAATAGTACATACAAATGTATCAAATATCAAATACTTAATTTGATTTTGAGACTCAATCTGGTTCAATTCAACGTTATCCTTGTTGCAACGGTGCTTATACTATATAATATGATGGTAGGTGGTCGAACGAAAGATCCTGAGTTCTTCAACTTTGAGGTATCGAATTTAACTCTCCGTCAGTCTATGTGGCTTTTGGCTGAGCTGATGGCACTTTTTTGTTGCTATAAGTCAACTCACTGCATAGTATCTTCCTGGTACGATGGTAAGACCATTGATTTCGAAAGAATTGACAAAGAGAGATTGCTATGGTCTATGGTTTCTTGACTTTGGCCTTTTTGCTCATGAACTTGTTCCGTTGTTCGGATTCTTCTTCGGAGTTTTATGTCTACCTTTTTCTCCTCCGTTTCTCTTTTTGGTTCAACAATTCGTCAAGCGAAGAAGAGAATCTCAAGATTAGATAATTGCTTGGAGATGAAGATACAAACCACACATTGGTTTTAGGTTTTAGGTTTTTTTTTTCTTTTAGGGTTGAATCGTTTGGTTGTGTGATCAGGTGTTGTAATTACTAGCACTAAGTTTGGTTTTGCTTTTGGAATTAGAGTTTGTTTCAAAAATACATTGAAACGATAGAAGGTAATTACATTGATCACATGAAAGCGAAAGCGAAAGCAACATACTGATTTGTCAAATTAACTGTCCCAAAGGATGTAATTACGGACTGCAAAAAACTTGATCCGGTCCGGCCGTGTTGACTATGTTTTAAGCCTACTCCTGATTAGCTGTGGTGAAAAAACAAAGTACATCCTTCACAAAAAATGCATAAAATTGCATAGAAACGAGTATGTAGATGTAACCATGTTAAAAACACACAGGGATTCCTCTTCAAACGAACACAAATCGCAATCCATAATTACTTAGTCCTACAATAAACTACAAACCGCCATATATAGAGGTCCATAAGTTCAAAAGCTCGTTGGTCCAGAAAAGCTTCACAAGGAGAAATTAAATACTACATAATATAATGTCAATGAATGTACAGACACACCTTCATAAGATTAGCTGGGGTGGAAAACAAAGTACATCCATGCATAAATAAGGTTTCGGCCACATTAACCTATAAAAACAAGTAAAAACTATAGCCTTTTGGAAACATTAATCGATGAAATCTAGTAAATTAGGCGGCTTAAGGACAGCGGTTCAGGTGGAGCTAGGTTGATCGTTCTTCCAGGTATTAATTTCGAGAACTATATGTCCCGGTTTCCCATCCGTCGTTCTTCTTACAACCGATTTGTAGTCACAACTCTTGGCACTGAAGTTTATGTGGAAGATGGCATTACTAGACTTCAGCTTCAGACGCGGCTCTCTATGAGTTTCACAAGTCTCCACAATTATCTTCTTGATCTCCACAGGTAAACAAGACTCAAATCCGTCCTGCAAAAAAAAGCTTACTAAAGTTCAAAAATTGCGGAAGATATAAGACTAAACCCAAACATCCTGCAAGGTTCCCACTCTCAAGTACCTCATTATATCTCCACAAGGAAAAAAGTGCAAATTCAGTATATAGACGTAGCCAATCATTTGCACATATGTCCTGCTCCTGAACCTGTCAAATACAACACATCTTAAAGAGTTCTAATAGAAAACGTTTCTTTCAAACACATATAAGAAAACACGTTTTACCTCATAGAATCTCAGCTTATCAGTGACAGCTCCTTGTTTGGACACAAAGTTGGGCATAACACCTCTGTAAAACTTATCTATTGCTTTCTCATCCACAAGACAGATATCTCCTTCTACAATATTAACAACACACATTCAGACTTTTCAGCTACAACTTTGAATGGTTGTATATCACTAGTAATAGAGTTACCAGGTGTTTCGGGTTTGATTCTGCAAATTCCAGTAGAGACTCTTAAGTGCTCTCCATTCCTAGAGAAAGATCTTATGACCAAGGTCTGTAAAGTGTGAGCTGAATTATCAGCAAGATCCTTCACATCCACGGTTATATAGAAAGACATAGCTTTAGGAAATTGAATATTGTATTTAGGTATGCGCATATACTTCAACTTCCTCTCCTACAAAGATTGAATCAAAAATGAATGACAACTCTGAACAAGACGATAAAGACAAGATTCCACAGTTCTCAGATATGAACACTAAACCTTGTCAATGTTGAAGCAATGAACTCCCAAACGGCCATAAAGAGCGATTTCGCTACGCGGGTTTTCATTAGCACCTAGAAAGACTGGTGAGATTCCACATGCTGGGATACGATGATAACGGAAAACAGAGGAACGAAATAGAATACTTCGATTAATGAAAATGACAGATTGATACAACGTTCATAAAACGCGATATCAACTTCTCATCTACAAGAGTTCAACATGAAACTCCGGCGAATGATGAGGAACGATTCTCAGAGAGAATCCAAAAGGAAACGATAAACAACAAATCCAAATCTTCTTATTCTTCTGCAAATGATCCTCATTAGCTATATATCTCTGCGTCTCGATTCTTCCTCTAACACTCCCATCGACCAATCTTCTCTTGCCACGTCTCACAGCTACTGTCTCCACTCATGTATTGCCACGTATCTAACCATATATCAATGCCTAGTTTCCTATATCAGAGCTCCCCTGTTGGAAGAACCTTGACCACAAGGTTCAGTTCGAATAGGTATTCTCAAGTAGCTCTTGTGATTCAAGTCCAATCCCAGGGTCAAAGGTTTGGCTCTGTATGACTTCAAGCTTTCGTTCGTCTTTGGCAAATTTCAGTTTAACAAGCTGATACACACGTTGAGACACCTCTATAACATTCTTGGCCTCACTTCCAAGCTTGTAAACAACCAATCTCCTGCTGGAAAAGAGTTGCGTCCCTTTGTCACTCTGTTTCCAAATAGAATATTCATAACGCACTGTAGAGGACCCCCCCGTCCATAAGCAATCCCACAAATTTGCATAACTAGTGGAAAGCTCTAAACTGTCGAAATATAACAGCAACTCTGAAGCTGAATGTAGGAACTTAAATCTCCATTTATGCTTGATTAGGAACAGCACAACACCAATTGTAAACTTTTGCAGGTCTTGTAAAGTTTTTCTCTTCAATCTAATAGAGAGACAGTTCAATTCTTGTGGCTGCAAACATTTGTTCACACCAACAGAAGCCACTTGCTTCTCATCCGTGGAGTCTTTATCCATAGGTGAAGGAATGTGCATTTGAATGTTACTTAAAGAAAGTCCTGCAGCTTCCCTTGGAAAATTTAAAGGTTGAGCTCCTTTCTCATAATCCCCACCATCTTTTCTGATAATCAGTCCCTTCTGATGAGCTTGCTCATACAATCTTCCAACCAATAAACATTGGCTCACTGTTTGTGGCTGATGTTTGAGAAACGAGTCCTTTGGTTGTAGCAAACTAAGCTCCATAATTGAATCCGTGGAATGATTCCTGGCTTGTTCTTGAATCAGTTGACTCTGGTCACTCAAAGAATCTATTTCCATAAACGATATTGTCCCCAAATTTGCATAAGGAGCACTTCTTAGAATCGCATCATGTCTTTCTTGATCAGACATTATACCTAGCAAACCTCTCATGTTAGCAGCGCTGGCCACACTGAATTTCTCATCATGTTTACCCTTATCAAACATTAGTTGAAGGAGGCTGGAGTATCTATACTCTCTCATCATTTTCTGCAAATTCATGTTCATGAGCTTGAATTTCCAAAACTTGAATCTAACAAGTAGCCACACTGGAAATGTTTCATGATTCACTTGATCATCTTCCATGTAACAATCATCTTTCAGCATGGACCAAACTTTGGTAAACTTGTTCTTCTTCATCAATGCAACTTTAGTATTTGAACAAGGATATTTGTACTTGACAACCCCTCTGTAAGTCTGTTTATGTGCCTTTCGTGACCTGCCCTTATGTTGACTCCGTTGTTTGAATTTGAACCTCCAACCCTTGGGACACTTAATATGTCTCTTCTTACTGTGTACTATGAGAGGCATTTTATCGAACACCTTATGTGCATAGTCATTTTCTGTGATACTTGGCACTTTGTAATCCTTCTCAACATCACCTTCAACCTCAAATCTCTTACTAATGTTCTTTTGAACCCACTCTTGCTCTAGATTCTCGTTCAGCACCATTTCCAACCCTAAATTTACTTCCCTAAGTTCCATACTCCTCAAAATATCTGAGTTAGCAAGTGGTACCTGAAATGGTGGAATTGATTCTTTCTCTAAGATCGCTTTCTGTACCAACATCTCGTGATTCTCCAACTTGAGGTTCTCCTCTTGAGCTTCGCACACCAACTTCACCTTACGATGTTCAATTGATTCACCAAATTCAACATTAGGAAGTTGATCTTCATCACCATCAATCATGAGAATTCCTAATTTCTTGTGTTTTAGGTGGTGATCGAGAGTTTCTGGCTCTTCGCAAAACACACATAACCCCTTCAACCTTCTCTCGTTAATCTCTTCCCACGATATGCTCCGACGAATCTTCATTGTGCGATTTGACAACGGATTCGTTCTAGTAGCTTTGATCTCTGCCCTGGATTCCGAGGTCGTCTTGCTCTGATACCAGTGATAACGGAAAACAGAGGAACGAAATAGAATACTTCGATTAATGAAAATGACAGATTGATACAACGTTCATAAAACGCGATATCAACTTCTCATCTACAAGAGTTCAACATGAAACTCCGGCGAATGATGAGGAACGATTCTCAGAGAGAATCCAAAAGGAAACGATAAACAACAAATCCAAATCTTCTTATTCTTCTGCAAATGATCCTCATTAGCTATATATCTCTGCGTCTCGATTCTTCCTCTAACACTCCCATCGACCAATCTTCTCTTGCCACGTCTCACAGCTACTGTCTCCACTCATGTATTGCCACGTATCTAACCATATATCAATGCCTAGTTTCCTATATCATACGAACATTACCATCAATATCGAAACCCTGCAGCCAATTTTTTTTATCAAAAAGCATCAAAATTTTGATATGTAATTTCGTAAAAACAGAACCTAAATACCAAATCAAAGCAGAGACATGAGAGAGTACCAGAGACTCGGTAAATTGGCGACAGTATTCTTCGTCAAGTTGTTCATCTTCCTCAGATGTCCATCCATCGACTTCTTCTTCGGTTTTGGATAAATGAAAAGTATCAACATGTTTACTCAATCCACACAAAATCGAGTGGCAGGTTTCGTCTGATAATTTCCCACTATCCAACAGCTGTCGTAGAAGATCCGCCATCTCCGAGATCCTAAGCTTCGAGAGATTTAGGGATTGTTAACTGTTTTTCTTCTAGATTTAGGGATTTTTTATTTTACGGGTAGGGCAAGTGTAGGCCCAGACATAAAAACCGAACCGAGTAGACGAACCAAAACCGACTCGAAAAATATCCATCCGAATCGAGATTGATTCTATTGGGTCCTAAACTATTTTATCCAAAAACCCGAACTCGAATCCGGCCCAAATTCAAATCCTAAAAAAAAACCGAATTTCTTTATTAAAATACCCAAAATTTATCCAAAACTCGATTTTTTACCTGAAAACCCGAGAATTTATCCGAAAATTTAATTAACAGATATTATGCAATTCTGAAAATCCATATACTCGAACCCAAAAGGACCTAAACTAAAACCGAACCGATTTTATCCTACTGGATCCTACACTCTTCTACCCTTACATCCGAATTCGAACGGGTTTTATGCGAACCCGACCCGAAGACCCAGGCCTAGGAAAGTGGATCAAGTTATTGACCATAACACAAAATTTTTATAAACATTTAGAATTTTACAATCTAATGGGCAGCTAATTCAATATCATAACCTGACTTGGATAGGTTTCCACACTACATAATTAATTCAATATCATAACCTAATGAATATTGCGAATTGAATTTTACAAGTTAATGACTAATTTATCCCCATTGGACATCATACAAATATCATCAATGAACAAACCTGACTTGGATAGGTTTCCACACTACATAAATTAACAATATCTATAATAAATATGTAACACTAATAGAGATGCCGTGTCATGGCTCTTTTGAAACAAAATCAGTTTATTTTGGTGAATCAAATGATGTCATCTTTATGATCTTCGTACACTAGTTCTGCTTGAAGAGATGGGTCTTCATAAATTGGCAGCTTTTTTTTTTTGTCTCGACAGGTTTCTATTATGTTTTCCTAGGAATTAATTGGCACCTAAAGAATACAGCTTCGATAACAAAGAGCATTAACTATTAAGCTTGATAACAAAGAGCATTAACTATAAGGCTGAAGAATTAACTATTAAGACATAAAAATGGACTTTTTTTTGGGTCTTGCTAACAAAGAGATCGCTCTGTTTAGTCTTTCTATTTAAAGTAACCATTTTGAATTTTATTTAGTTTATCTACAATATATAGTAGTTACTAGTAATATTTAATTTATATCATAATGTATATATATAGTGATGATATAATTGTAAAACGTCCATGTGAATTAAAAATTAAAACACATTGATCCTCAAAAGGCATATACGGAGTCACTTCTAAAACCATATGGTACTTGTTATTTCTGATCCTTAAATATCTTAATTGATGTATAATACCATGTGCTATAAAAATTTATAATTAAGGTTATCATAGACAGTAATGACAACAAAATGATGTACATGTTTAATCCCCTAAGTAATTACGTCGTCGTAGAATCTTAACACTGAATCGTGATAACAAAATAATAGTAATAACAATTTTGTAAACCCTCATCGTGTCACTCTTGCTGACATAACAAGAGGACCATCATGCATAACTTATTTTTCATTGTTCCGTTGCTACTATTTGTCGTTGGTGTTATAAATTACACGTTCTAATCACCTATGTTTAACTTTTTCCATAGGAAATTAAACTATTTTGCGAGCTGTTTTATCAAATACTGTGGGTCGTCTACTCTTCTAGACATATATAACAATATAACAAGTTGTTATTAACAACCCTAACGGGGTCCAAATTATAAGTTTATAACCCATATTTTGAATTGCAGACCTTCGGATTTTAGTTTTAATATTCTTAGGGAAAACCTATAGTAGTTTGCACTCTAATAAATCAATAATATAAGTACTTTCGTTATTACAACAAAAGTTACTTTTGTTTACTATAATTTTGTAGTCCACACTCCACATTTTCCATCGATAAGTGGTTAATCAGTTTACGAAAATTAAATAAGAACAAAATTCAAACTGTAACATTAAAAATATTGGGGTATGGTAGAAAAAGTATGGACTGACACCGTGAGAGAAATAAATTAATAAAAATTTGAAAAAAAAAGAGAATGCAGAGAGTAAAGACTCAACTTTCCATGCTCAGTTTCTATAAAAGCTTGGACGACGTTGGTGCACATCTTCTCTCTCTCTCTCTCTGCTCAAAACCTCAAGTAATCTCTCATTTCTTACTTAGAATCTGAGTTCTTTTTGTGGATCTATAGACTAACTTATTTCCATGTTCTTGGTTGTTTTTAAGGTGATTTCCATGGATTGCAACGAGAGTTACATACGACTTGACTCATTGAGTCGGTGATTTCCTTTTTCACTTTCCAGAAACATTGGTTAGTTAATCTCTTCCCTCTCATGTTCATTGTTTACTAATCTGTTGTTTATCACCACTTTTATCCATATATACTCCTAACTTAACGTTTCTCTTTTATCTACAGTTGCTCAGAGTTGCTTGTTTTAGTGGGAAGAGGCAAGCTTCTAGGGTAGGCTCATTCTTCATTTTCGGTTCCATTACACTAATGACCTAGAATCTGCTTCTCTCTTTTTTTCTTCTCAAACCTCTAGCTTCTTATTCATACGATTAAGTTCATTAATGTGTCTTTGTCTTCTAGGGTTTCATTTGCTAACTGTGTCTGTAGCCTTTGTTGCTTGTTCCGTATAGCTGTTGGGTGCCTTGGCCTTGAAATTGTCTGCAAGGTAAAAAAACACTCCATCCACTGTGTTTGTTTCTCAATATTGTTCGTTTCTCTCTTCTATGAGCAGATAAGGTAAGAGTTTGACTCTTTGAGTTTCCAGAAATAAAATTGGAAAGGAAAATGAGTTGTCTTCCCATGAACCATCGCCTCAAAATTCAAACTATTTTTTCTTCATAGGATTTTTGGGAAGTTTTCTGAGATTATGGAGAAATATACGGAGACCGAATTACTTCCTCTTCCAGTAAGTAGATTATTAAGCTATTAAATTTAATCTGGGTCAAAAATATTATATTCTTTTGATTTGTTTTTCTATTTATAACGTTGAATTCTCGTAAATCTAAACAGGTAATCTACGAGTCTGATGAATTGTTTTCAGAAATAAAAAAGATTTGCAAGATCATTCCACTAGCATTATTGGTCAAGATTCTGCAAGTACAACCTGAAGCTAAATTTGAGCTAATCCGAGTGACAAGCACAATACGTAAAAATACACCAACCGAGAAAAGTATTGATGTAACCTATGCTCGCTTGAGAAAACACAGGGTATAATACTAATACTTTGCTAATATATAACTTATGTCTAATTGATGAAATATTTCAAACTTCACTTTTCTTTTTGTCATTTCTTAACTTTTTAGTTTTTTTTTTTCATTTTTTTCTGTGTTGATCAATAATATATAGGCAATGCCAGATAAAACGAACAATGTGGACTGGAGTCCTTATTATGGTATCGTGCTAGATCAGGAAAACCACGGTAGTCCAAGTTTACTCCCTTTTTATTTTGCAAATTTAGTAACTATAAAATAATTTGATGAAATTAAAATATTAATTTTTTCAGACATATGTTGGGTGGGCTATAGTAGCAGCTGAATTGGTCAAGGCTATAAGATGGATTAGAGGACGTGAAAACGGAACGGCGTATTCATTTCAAGAGCTTGTTGATTTTGTGGATCAAGAGAAAGGAAAATATGTCAAAGAGGGTGGTCATTTTTGCTATACACTAAGCATCATTAAAGCCTTAACATACATAGTCAAAAAGGGGATCCAAAGGGAGGTAGATCGACCTTTTGTTGGGTGTAGAGCAGTTCCACCACCACGGGTTATATTGAATTCCGAACTTGGATTTATTGGTGCTGTAAAGAAGATCCCAAAAATAGAAGAAGCACTCGTGCACTTGCAAACACAGCCGTTAGGAGCAGCTTTTCCAATTTTCCTTCCGGATTACGAACAAATAAGAGGGGTACGTACTTACATGCATGATCTCTTGTTTCTATATAGAACAATTAACATTTCATTTGCACATTTGTTTTATGTATTTATGGGCATAAAAATCTTCTTATAATAGTTAATTAAATTGTTTGTGTTTCTTTATAGGAGATATATCGTGGGCCAATGTACAAGGGTTCAAGGTTTGCTGGCATGCACGCAGTATCAGTGACAGGAGCTTCAACTGAGAATGGAGAAAGTTTTATGACGGTGAGATCATCTCATGGCGAGAAAATAGGGATAAAAGGTTACTTCAAAGTTTCAATAGACGTTATGCTCCTCCGAACAAGCACAGAATGCCACGAGCATGAGGAAAGTTATTTCCAAACGCCCACACCACTACTAACGAGATTTTGCTTTCCAGAACTTTTAGAGGAAAGTGAAGAGAAGAAATTGAAAACAAAGATAGAGGAGGTTAGTTTTCTTGAATAAGAAAACAATAAATAGTTGATTCATTGATTTAATTCCCATTTATAATGTAGAGCTGTTGTTTCACGTACGCTTTTAGTTTAACATAATTTAGTATTCTTAAATGAATTTTTGTTTTTATGGTTTAGGAAAGGAGGCACTTCAAGCTAAAACTGTCCTTGGCGTTTTGGTCTTCTAATTCTATTGTGTCATATTTAGCAGCTTTAATCGTTTTGTTGTTGTTATCTTGTAATTTCTACTATGTGGATCGGAATTAATGTCTGGGATTATGCTTTAATTTTCTTTATAAGAAAACAGATTATGCTTTCTTTATATTTTGTGGATTTTCTCGTCGTTCGTTCTACTTTTGTTTGTTTTGTCATTAATCGTATTTCTATTATTTAAAGGTTGTGTGGGGAATATAGATCCCGATCAAAAAAAAAACTCAAAGAACAAAACTAGTTTTTGGAGAAATTTGGTCTCTGTTTTTTTTTAAATTTTATTTTTCATGGGTTTCATAAAATAGAGAAGAATATTGAATATATCTTACAATTCCTACAAACAAAGAAATAACTTAACTTAATGACTACATTATTAATTTGAGAAACAAATAAGAAAACAACTAAATGGGGAGAAACTAAGACACTATACAACTAAATGCAATTCATCGATCAACCTCTTCGATTATTTTCATGTGTCTAACAACATTTTATTTGTCTAAACGAGTCTATGAAAGTAGGCAATTAGAGTCTTAGCATATCAAATTCTTTTTCACCGTTTTCTTTTGCCACTAATAATAGTATTAGCCAATATCGAACATAACAGGGTGAATTACAAGGATAAAATAGTGTCTGTTTGGCAACATATATAAAGAAATGATCAATTCCTTTTTATCTTTAATAAATAAATTTTAGAGCCTGTTAGTAACTTACTAGCATCTGCTGCTCATAGCCAGCATCTGCCCAATCCGTGAATTACCATCTTCCTCAGATGACCACGCCATTTCCACTCCTTTAATATCTCCAAACCCTTCCAAAATTTCGAAATTGTAAACGTTATGGTCGCATGGTACTAAATATAAAATTGTGACAACAAATATATAAAACATGGTTATAGTAAATACGAATATATCAAAAACCCAAGCACTTTTATGATTATTTTAACGACAAAAAAAAAAAAAAAAAAAACCAGAAAAAGGGGAAACCAACAATTGAAAACGTTGGTCTCTCTCTCTCTCTCCATCACGAAGACGCCTGTTCACCAACAAAACCCCTCCGATCTCCATAGTTTCCGGCCGGCGTCGGCTTCTCTGGCGTCGGTCGGCACCTCTCTCCTCCTTTAGTCTCTTCACATAGTTTTTGCATAGATTTCGTTTCTAATAATGGCTAATCGTGAAAATCAAAATCACGCCCTTTGCCTCTTAGAATCCGTGGTGGTACATGTCTTCATTTCGGCGATCTCAATTCAAATCCCAACTTCGATACTGGCACCATCTTTTCTTCTCCATACCCTTTCTCCGTTGAAAGATGTCTATTTATACGATCATCGTATTCGTTTTCTCTTCATCCAGAAGAGTGTTTGTCCGGAATCTGTTTTCTGTTTTCATTGGATCAGACATGCCGGTGTTAGTCCGTTGAGTGAAATCTCTGACGGTTGGTGGAAATTGTCCCTCTTGGATAAAGTTCGACCCCCTAAGCCACCATGGATGTCCTCTACTTTTCACGCCTCTTCGAGACTATGGGATAGAACCACAATCTTCATATTGCGTGCAAGGAGGATCACTATTATCGGTAAGACCAATGGTGGCTGTGAATTATATCGACGACGCCTTCACCGTTTGAGATGCTTTGTCAAGGATTACGATCGGGGTAAAGTTGGATTGGAATTATTCCTTCACATGTCTCATGTGGTGGATTTGGATTACAGAATTTGTTCTACTCAAACGTATGACGTGCGTTGGATGGGAACTCATGAATCTAGTCTGAAATATTTGGAAGATGCTCTTGGTTTTGAAAAATATCTGACGCAACAACTGTGGAAGAGAGGGCATTGTGGAAAGAAGGAGGAAACCATAGCCAATATGCGGAAACGACATCAAAGGTTGATTTCAAAGAAAATAATCTCAAAATCAAATTTTCATAGAACGACTCGGTTACGGAAGTGTTGGTATCTGATAGTCATAGCTCCAGAATATATGATGGAAGCATTAGGTTTAACCATGCAGTGTGCAATTTAGAGATCAAGCCAAGAAAAGCTATCCACGCACACAGTTCGCATCAGAGCGAGATCGAACATAGAGAAGAAAAATAATGGATTTAATAATCCGTTAGCGAATAAGGCTTATCTGTGGAAAGCATCGTCAAATTTACTTCTTTTGTGTATCTCTCATTATATGGCGCATATATCTGCTTATGTAATAATTTGTTTCCAAAGTTTCTGTATACTGACTTTGTAACCTTGATTTGATATCAATGAATTTAGAAGGAAAAAAAAAAAACAGAAAAAAAAATGGTACGTGTGATTTCTTTTCCAAAAACCCTAACTCATGTTTTTATATAAAGCGCGATCTGCAGACGTCATCAATATTCGATTTAGGTTTCTCAACAAATTACTTGATCTCCAAAATCCATATTCTTCAACCTCTCTCGGCTCTTGTCTTCAAGATTTCGCATCTTTCTTCTCAGTTAAAAAGATAAAACGATGAAGCAAGAAGTGGGACATACATACAAACTGATAGCATCAGACGCAGTTTTCAACAAACTCGCAATCATATTCAACATTCTCCTACTTGGAACGCTCTTGCCTCTGTGGATATTACGGCCAGAAGAAACAGAGTTCATCGATTTAGAAAACTTTGAGATATCGAAAGTAACTTTCCGTGGAACGATGGGGTTTTTGGCTTTGATATTGGCATCTTGTTATCACTCGAAATGTATTCACTGCTTTGTATCTTTCATGTTCGACGCTGCGGGTTTGTTCGATGATACAACCGAAAGGACTTACATAGAGATGGCTATGTTTTATGGTTTCTTGACTTTGGCCTTTTTTTCTAATGAATCTGTTCGGTTTCGTCTGGGGATTTTTGTCTCTACTAGTTAGTTTCTCCACCGGTTCTATTTTTGATTCTCCAATTCGTCAAGTTAAGAAACGCTAAAGAATCTCAGGAATATATTGCTTGGAGAAGAAAGATTCAACCACGCAGATTGATTTTAGGGTTTTTTATTTTTCTTTTAGGGTTGATTTGTTGGGTGGTGATCTCTATTTTCATTGTAATTACTGCTACGAGACTAATCTTAAGATTATTAGATGCTTGGGGTCTGGGGATCAAATCTGGTTTTTTAGGGGTTTTACAGGTGTTGTAAATACTTCTACGAGTTTGGTTTAGTTTTCCGAATTCAGAGTTTTTTCAAAAGATAGATTTTACTTGTCTATGTTATTAGAGAGTTTTTTTTTTTTTACTTTGTATATAATATTCTGGTTAAACAAATGACAAATCTAAGCTCAAGCTTGAACAAGACCTAGTAAAAGGTAAAAGTAAATATTTTTTAGTCTCATGATCTCATCTATAGCCGTTCAACGGCAAAACTTGATTAATTTCATCGATTTCAAGGACTTCGAGTTATCGAAAGTAACTTTTTGTAAGACGATGGGGCTTTTAGGTCTAATGATGGGAGCTGCTTATTGCGCTGATAACTCGATCATATGACGCTGTTTTGACCATTGATTTCAAAAAAAGAACTGACAAAGAGGAAAGAGCTGGCTATGATTTATGGTTTCTTGGCTTTGGTCTTTTTTTCTCATGAACTTGTTCGGATTCTTCTGGAGAGTTTTATGTCTACCTTTTTCTCCTTCGTTTCTCTTTTTGGTTCAACAATTTGTCAAGAGAAGAAAACAATCTCAAGATTCGATTGCTTGGAGATGAAGATTCAACCACACCGATTGGATTTTTCTTTTTTAAAGGGCAGAATCGTTTGGTGGATGAGTTTTAAGTTTCAGATGATGTAATTACTGCTGTGAGTTTGCCACTAAGTTTGGTTTTGCGTTTCGAATTCAGAGTTTGTTCCAAAAAAAAAAAAACACATTTAAACGATAACAAAAAAAAACACATGTATTGTTAAAAATCACTCTAGAGCTAAAGCAAAATATATTGATTTGTCAAATTATAAATTGGACTGTCCTTAGAACACAAAAAATGTTAATTAATTTTGGATGACAAAAAAAAAAAAACAAAAAAAATGAATTGTCCATCCTAATTAAAGACTCAATCTGGTTCAATTCACACTAACTAAACCGGAACACAAGAAGATTTGGTCAAACAAGGTCAACAGATGTTAAAAACAAATGGGCCTAGAAAAGCCCTAACGTTATCTTTTAAACCGACACCAAATAAACATTATAAATACCCACAAAACTAAAAATTTTCGATTTAGGTTTTCTCAACAAAACTTTGTTCAGTCTCCAAATTCAATCTTCTTCACTTTCTTCAAGATTACGCATCTTTCACTTCTGTCAAAAACGATGAAGAAAACGGGAATGACTTGCAGATGGATAGCTTCGGATTCAGTTTTCAACAAATTATCGATCAAATTCAACGTTCTCGTTGTTGCAACGCTGATTCTGCTGAGGATGACATGGAGAGAATTTATCGATTTCGAAAACTTTGAGATATCGAAAGTAACTTCTCGTGAGGCGATGGGGCTTTTGACTCTGATGATGGCTTCTTTTTACTACTCGGGAAGTTTTCGATGGATTTTATCTGACTTGCTCAAGTTTAACGATCCATTGGTAAGGATTGACAAAGAGTTGGCTATGTTATATGGTTTCTTGACTCTGGCCTTTTACCTCATGAACCTGTTCGGATTCTTCTGGGGACTTTTATGGCTACCAGTTTCTCCTCCGAGTCTTCTTTTGGTTCTTCGATTCGCCAAGTCCAGAAACGTTAAAGAATTTCAAGATTAGGTTGCTTGGAGATGAAGATTCCAATCTAATTCAACACATGGATCATATATGGGTTTAGGGTTGAATCGTTTGTTGGTGATTTTTTAGGTTTTTCTCTCAGATGTTGTAATTACTGCTATGAATAATCTCAAGATTAGATAGCTTGTAGATGAAGGTTCAACTCTGGGTTTTAGGGTTTTTCTTACGGTTGGAGCTTTTGGTGATGATTCTTAGTTTTCTCAGGTGTTGTTTGGTTTTGCTTTTGAAATTCAGAGTTTGTTCCAAAATACATTGTAACGATAGATTTTACTGCTCTCTCATGTTGTTAGAGAACCTTTTTTTTACTCTGTTTACAAGTATATTAAATCAACAAATTGAAGCTCGACCTTCGGACCTTGAACATAAGCTATGTACGTTTCTCGTATCCGATGTGTAAAATGTGGTTCTGAGAGGTTGAAACTGATAACAATATGAGTCCATAATACACAAATTAGGGAAATTTTATAAGATACACATACCATAATAGCATACTTTTATAAGATTTAACTATTTAACCATAAGAAATTCTTTAAAGAAAATCAGAACCACTTTATTCCTTAACCACTTCTGATAATTAAGATTCTTGGAGATGGCGGATGTTCTACGGCATAGTGGGAAATTATCAGACGAAACCTGCCACTCGATTTTGTGTGGATTGGGTAAACATGTCGATACTTTTGATTTATCCAAAACCAAAGAAGAAGTTGATGGATGGACTTCGGAGGAAGATGAACAACTTGACCAAGAATACTGTCGCCAAGTTACCGAGTCTCTGGTACTCTCTCATATCTCTGCTTTGATTTGGTATTTAGGTTTTGTTTTTACGAAATTACATATCAAAATTTTGATGCTTTTTGATAAAAAAACTTTGGCTTCAGGGTTTCGATATTGATGGTAATGTTCGTATCCCATCATGTGGAATCTCACCAGTCTTTCTAGGTGCTAATGAAAGCCCGCATAGCGAAATCAGTCTTTATGGCCGTTTGGGAGTTCATTGCTTCAATATTGACAAGGTTTAGTGTTTATATTTGACTTCTGCTTTGAGTATTCATATCTGAGAACGGTAGAATCTTGTCTTACTGTCGTTGTTTCAATCTTTGTAGGAGGGGAAGTTGAAGTATATGCGCATACCTAAATACAATATTCAATTTCCTAAAGCTATGTCTTTCTATATAACCGTGGAGGTGAAAGATCTTGCTGATAATTCAGCTCACACTTTTACAGACCTTGGTCACAAGATCTTTCTCTAGGAATGGAGAGCACTTAAGAGTCTCTACTGGAATTTGCAGAATCAAACCCGAAACACCTGGTAACTCTATTACTAGTGATATACAAACATTTAAAGTTGTAGCCGAAAAGTTTGAATTAATGTGTGTTGTTAATATTGTAGAAGGAGATATCTGTCTTGTGGATGAGGAAGCAATAGATAAGTTTTACAAAGGTGTTATGCCCAACTTTGTGTCCAAAGAAGGAGCTGTCAATGATAAGTTGAGATTCTACGAGGTAAAATGTGTTTCTTATATGTGTTTGATAGAAACGTATCTCTTTATGATGTGTTGAATTTGACAGGTTCAGGAGCAGGACATATGTGCAAATGATTGGCTACGTCTATATACTGAATTTGCACTTTTTTCCTTCTGGAGATATAATGAGGTACTTGAGAGTGGGAACCTTGCAGGATGTTTGGGCTTAGTCTTATATATATCTTCCGCAATTTTTGAACTTTAGTAAGCTTTTTTTTTGCAGGATGGGTTTGAGTCTTGTTTACCTGTGGAGATCAAGAAGATAATTGTGGAGACTTGTGAAACTCATAGAGAGCCGCGTCTGAAGCTGAAGTCTAGTAATGCCATCTTCCACATAAACTTCAGCGCCAAGAGTTGTGACTACAAATCGGTTGTAAGAAGAACGACGGATGGGAAACCGGGACATATAGTTCTCGAAATTAATACCTGGAAGAACGATCAACCGAGCTCCACCTGAACCGCTTTCTTTACTACTACAAAAACAGTCCTTAAGCCGCCTAATTTACTAGATTTCATCGATAATTGTATCCAAAAGGCTTTAGTTTTTACTCGTACTTATAGGTTAATGTGGCTGAAACCTTAATTATGCCTTTTAGTTTTAGTCATGGATGTACTTTGTTTTTCACCCCAGCTAATCTTATGAAGGTGTCTGTATATTCATTGACATTATATTATGTATTTAATTTCTCCTTGTTAAGTTTTTCTGGACCAACGAGCTTTTGAACTTTTGGACCGCTATATATCAAGGTTTGTTTAGCTTGTCTTAAGTTTATTGTTTAGGAGCATTTCTAGATGACCAAATTTGTTTTTTTCTATAACACTTTGTTAATAGCTTTTTTAAATGACGTTTAGTTTATTGTAGGACTAAGTAATTATGGATTGCAATTTGTGTTCGTTTGAAGAGGACTCCCTGTGTGTTTTTAACATGGTTATCTCTACATACTCGTTTTTATGCATTTTTGTGAAGGATGTACTTTGTTTTTTCACCATAGCTAATCAGGATTAAGCTTAAAACATAGTCAACACGGCCGAGCCGAATCAAGTTTGTGCGGTCCATAATTACATCCTCTGGGACAGTTAATTTGACAAATCAGTATATTGCTTTCGCTTTCATGTGATCTAATTTTCTAATAACATGGACTAGTAAAAGCTATTGTTTCGATGAATTTTTGAATAAAATCTGAATTCGATAGCAAAACCAAACTTAATGCCAAACTCATAGCAGTAACTTACAACATCTGAAAAAAAAGACTAGTAAAAGATCACCACCAAACGATCGATCATACCCTTAAACCCCCCTAAAACCCCCAGACTTGAAAATATTCTTCATCTCTAAGCATCTAATCTTGGCATTTTTGGCTTGTTGGAACGATAAAAACATCTACTGAAACTTTTAAATAGCCAACGTTCCCCACTTTCACACGATGTGATGATTTCACCAACATGAAACTTTCTCCATTTTCTACACAGTCACTGCGTGCATACCACAGAATCTTGAATTTCATGCATGGGTCCACGATATATCCCCTACAATGAACATATTTAGTCAACAAGTTATATTGTTATAACATCGATATTAAATTTATTATTCTCTATAAAAACAAATTATATGAGGAGAATGATTTCTTTAACTAAAACAAATCACAAACCTTTTTTATAAGTGAATTGAATAATCCTGTTCGAATATTGGCATTCCTGGCCCCCAATGGTTGTGTTTGTTAGTGAAAAGGAGCATCTTCTATTGTTGGTCATATCTTCTTTGTTCGACGCTGCTTTGTTGGGCAATGATAAGACCATTGATTTCAAAAAATTTGGTAAAGAGTTGGCTATGATGATCTATGGTTTCTTGGCTTTGGTCTTTTTACTCATGTACTTGTTCGGTTTCTTCTTGGGAGTTTTATGTTTGCCAGTTTCTCCTCCGAGTTTACTTTTGGTTCAACAATTCGTCGAGCAAAGAAACGTAAAAGAATTTCAAGATTAGATTGCTTGGAGATGAAGATAGCTTGGGTTTTAGGGTTTTTTCTTTTTTTCTTTTTCTTTTAATGTAGAAATCGTTTGGTGGTGATTTTTAGTTTTCAGGTGTTGTAATTACTGCGATGAGTAAACTCAAGATTAGATGGCTTGGTGATGAAGATTCAAAGCTGGGTTTTAAGGTTTTTTTCCAGGGTTTGAATCATTTGTTGGGTGAGTTTTAATTTTCAGGTGTTGTAATTACTCCTATGAGTTTGCCACTAAGTTTAGTTTTGTGTTTCGAATTTAGAGTTTGTTCAAAAGTACATTGAAACGATAGTTTTTTTTTACTAGTCCAATGTTATTAGAGAGAGTTTGGTCACTTGAAAGCACAAGCAAAATACTGATTTTCAAATTAACTGGTCCCAAAGGATGTAATTGCGGACGGCACAAACTTAATTCAGCCCGGCCGTTTCGATTCTATATGTTTAAACTTTAAGCCTAATCCTGATTATACTAATGAGAAGTGAGATTAGTTGTGGTGAAAGTTGAAAAAACAAAGTGCATCAATGACTAAAAAGGCGTAAATAAGGTCAAATTAAGGGGGGTGTATTGGAACTATAATTTTAGAAGATTTGGTGGAATTTGAATATTTTAGGTTTTTGAGAGATTTGATAAGTTTTAAAGATATTTGGGTTGATTTGTTAGGCTATTTATTTTTTTATTTTTTAAATGATTGGTGATTTGGTGAGATTTTGAGGGAAGTTTATTATTTAACTTTGAGTGATTTGGGATACTTTAGAACCAAAAAAAAAAAAAAACTGGGTTTAAATCCCCTCTCTCATGTCAACGAAATTGTGACCAATCAAACCCCACCATTGAATTGTTTTTTTTTTGGTGAATCCACCATTGAATTGTTTAAACGGTGCTCTGCTCTCATGATCATCTTCTCCTCTCCGAGGATTATTTGGTGTTTGTGATGTTGTTGTGGCGTTGATCTCATGTGATGTGCCCATTGAGATTTTTAATCCTACATATTCTACCAACAAATATATCGAAATAATGTTTCAGTTTGGTTGGGTTTCATAACTTGTGTGGCTTCAATTCTGTCTCGTGAAGCAAAAGATATAAACATAAAACCAAGAATGAAACATCATAAGAGAAACCACACATAGGACTAACTCAAACTTTAGATGTAAATATGCAACTTTTGAAGCTAAGCAATAGTAATTTGACATTGGTGAAGAAATAACTCACCAAGATTGCATGTTTGCTAAAACGTCACCATGTCTGCATAAACAAAATAACAAGAAACCCACAAAACTGAAACATTATTTCGATAACACCATTGAATTGTTACTACAGACAAAAACATAATTGAACTTTCACTGAATGAAGTGAAAAAGGGAGCAAACAACCATTTGTAATCTCTGATTCGTTTCCAATTTTGCAACATCAGTCAAGAGCTTAACACCAAGTTCATCGAGAACCGTTAATTTCAGAGACTCTTCAAAAAAATTTATGAGTTGCTATCTCAAACTTCCTATGAATGTTCACTTGCTGTCACGAAGTTACAATAAAATAGAATTTTGTCACTTCCTATGAAGATTAGAAGGAAGAAGCATAAAGACAAGAGCGGAGAATGATCAGAGTTTCTACATTCTCGAGTTTAGATTTTGCATGTGAAAAACACAGAATTGGTTGGAGAATCGGACACTAGGGTTCAATCGGAAATTGAATTCGTGTATGGATTCGATTACTGGAAGCAATTAGTTTTTCACAATCGATCGATCAATGCAGAATCAGAGTGTGAAACCCTCTTTTTCCAAGAATATGGAATGAAAGACAAGAGAAGGACGATGAGGATATGTTTGCAGAGTTTTTCTGTGAAATTTTAATTTTATCAAATCCTTGTGAATAACACCTCTAGAGGTGGGATTTTTTCATGCTATTTTTCAACTAAAAAATTATCCAAAGTCTCCCAGAATCAGTGATTAGTATTTTATTAAAAAAAATTTGTTAAGTTTGGATAACAGTAGATTTGATATGGGTTTTATAAATTCTTGATTGAATAACAGGAGATTATGAGTTTTTTTGAATGATTTTATATAAATTCCAGTTTCAATAACAAGGGATTTGAGAAGATATTTACAAATCTCAAGTTGAATAACAGGTCATTTTAAAGAAAAACCAATATCTTCCAAAATCCTACTTCCAATACACCCTCCTAAGTCTAATGCATGCTAGTGTGACATCTGCCTAATTATAACTTGGAAAATTGGAGTAGATAACCATAAAAAAACAACAAATTAAATAAGTAACCACAAAAAAAAAAAAAACTACGATATTCTGTATATAATATGTAATATATACATTTATACCCCCAATTAGCCACCGTCACCGTTCCGAACAACCAAATCCCACAGCTCACCAATCTCTCCTCCGTCCAACAATGGATATCCGATCAAATCTAACCTCACTTCCTATCAATCAACATCACCTGAATACTCGTCGGAAACCGATTCATCTCCACCGCCAATCACCTCCTCAACAGACCTCTAGTCCCGGCTATGCAATTTCTTCACACCACCCTCGTCTCTATCTTTTACCACCATCGAATCCAGATCTAGACACCGGATTCCTTTCTAATTCTACTCCTCCGTCTTCGAAAAAATTTCGCTCTGTTTAGATTTAACCCAAGCTTTTCGACCACGAATCGATACTTCTAATATCAAACATGCTCGACTCTCAGTGATTCTGTCGGCTTTTCTGCATCGACGCCGCTGCTAATGGCGCAAAACCTGAGCTCCGACGATAAAAAGCATATGCGTTTCAGAGTAATGGCAAATTGGAAAATAGGAAAATAATGCAGGGATAGACTTGTAATTATTTAGGGTTTTTGGTTACTTGCTGAATTACCTAAATTATATGGCTATATTCTTTATTTTTGGTGCAAATATGGCTACACAGCTAACTTTACCAAGTTTGTGTGATAATGAAATGTCTCAGAAACATAGTGAAAATTTATTTAACTTTATTTAATGTATAATTGTATATAATGATCGTTGCAAAAAATATATAGGAGAAAAAAAAAAGATCGGTGAGGAGGAGTTAATAGATCGTCGGAGTTTGGGAATTATTAGGGGTTGCAGAATCGGAGATGGCGGATGTTCTACGGAAGCTGTTGGACAGCGGAAAATTATCCGACGAAAAGTGTCGCTTGATTTTACGTGGATTGAGAAAACAAGTCGATGAGTTAAATTTATCCAAAAACGAAGCAATCGATGAATGGTCCTCTGACAAAGAAGAAGAAATCGACCCAGAATACCTTCGCCAAGTAAAGGAATCTCTGGTACTGTTTATCACTTTTTTCTGATTCGATCATAATTTTTTCTTGGGTTTTGAATTTAGGATTCGGTGGTTGGATCTTAGATTTCTAGAAGAATCCTCAACATGTTGATTTGTTATTTAAGATGTGATTGGTGAATTCTGGTATGTGCAGGGTTTCGATATCGATATATATGAACCTTCGTATCCCTAGCTATGGAATTGCACCACATGAGATAGGAGACGATTGTGAACCGCCTCACAACGTTGCTCTTTATGGCCGTTTGGGAGTTCATTGTTTCAACTTTGAGAAGGTTTATATTAGTGTGTTCTTCTGCTTTGCAGTATTGTTGATAACTGGCGACGGCTTATTCTTATGTCGTTTCAATCTCGCAGGGGAGGAATCTGCGGTTTATCCGCATACCCAAATACAATTCCCAAATCCATCAAACTGACTCTTACTCTATAACCGTGGAGGTGGAGGATCTTGCAGATTGTTCGCCTCACATTTTTCAGACCTTGGTCACAAGGTTGTTTCCCAAGAATGGTGAGGGCTTAAGAGTCTTTACTGGAATCTGCAGACTTAAACCCGCGACACCAGGTTTTTACTATTTACTGACATTTTCTAAGGATTTTCATACTATATTGACAAGAATGTTATGTTTTGAGATGTCCATGCACATCTTGAACTCTCTCTGTTTATGTCCGTAGACTTTGTGATATGTCATTTTAAAAAGTTACATTCAGGGTTTGCAACATGGATTTATGTTCTTAACATTGTAGGTAAAGGAGATGCCTATGCTATATTGGATGAGGAAGCAATAGATGGTTTTTACAGAGGCGATATGCTGGACTTTGTGTCGGAAGCAATAGCTGATGATGAGCTGAGATTCTACGAGGTAAAGGTTTATGTGTTTGAAGTAAATGCATCTTAAGAATTATTTGGATCTGTGTGCTATATTTGCTCCAAGTATATATGCTCCTCTTATGCAGTTTGTATGTTGTTATTATGTTGCACAGGTTTAGGAGCAGGACATATGTGAAAACGATTGGCTTCGTCTATATACTGAACTAGATATCAACCCGCGGTACACCGCGGGCCTATAATTTTACTAAAAAATTAAAGTAAATTTTTTAAAGATGATCTATAGATATATAGTATTGTTTTGTTTGATTTAAATGTATGGTACACCGCATGACGATATTTTATTACTAAAAAATTTAAATAAAATTTTTATTTGTTTTGTTAATATTGTTTATTTAGTTTTGTTTAGTGTTTAAGATTGTATAGTTATAGTTATATTTTGATTATCAATTTTAGGATTTCACCCGTAGTATATCTTACTGTATTAATATCGACCCAACCTCGTCCGACCATAACCCTGTCCCGTGAAATCTACATCATTTTGTTATTTTCTAATAAAATAATATCGACCCAAAATTCAAATAGTCTTTTGATTGTTATATCTAGGATTTCACCCGTAATATACCGTTTCGTATTTAAATCTTTTGTAAATATTTATAATGTTTAAATTTCTGATAAATTCTTAAAAATTCAAATATTTATTTTATTTGAAAGTTTATAAAATTCTTAATATTATAAATATTTAAAATGAAAAAGAAAATTAACAATATGGAATATATATTCATATTTGTAGATAAAGTTTTTTTTATATTAACTAATAGATTAAAAAATTGTAGTAATGGCATTCTCTAGGATTTAATGCATTTTGTATCATAAAGAACATCTCTTTACGATGTTGTTTACTTTACTATGATTATGCAATCATTACTCTAATATGAAGTTTGGTTTGTGTTCGATTGCTACCAAACCTTATCGAGATTCATTTCTTACTTATGCGGAGTCAAGATGTTGAAACTGTTATAGTTTCAGATGAAAGCTTGGGACAATATTAGTGAAATATAACGAACAGAATCGATGGTCTTGCAGAGAGGTGATGGAGAGAGAGAAACGAGGAAGAAGATGATGATGATTAAAATGATTCTGTCATTATTCTTCAATGATAGGTACAAACGTTATATACAGTTTAAGGAAGGTATCCGGTACAAACCGGTTATATACAAAGCCTATCTAAACCATACTAAACCATTTACACATCTAATATTCCCCCTTAAGATGGAGTGTATATGTTAATAACACCCATCTTGCGGATTAAGTACAAGAACTGTGTAGGATATAATGGTTTAGTTAATGCATCAGCCAACTGGTGTTCAGTCCCAACATATAATGTCTTGACAATGCCTTCTTGAACCTTCTCTCGAACAAGATGACAAGCAAGATCCAAATGCTTAGTTCTCTCATGAAATACTGAATTGTTAGCAATATGTATTGCTGCTGTGTTGTCACAGTAAAGTATTGATGCTTCTGATGTATCAAGCCATAAATCAACCATAAGTTTTCTTAACCAAAGTATCTTTTTCACACCATTAGACATTGCCCTGTACTCTGCCTCCGCAGATGACATAGAAACCGTTTCTTGTTGAACCAAACGAATTATATCCGTATCCAAACATAGGGCGGAGAAACCCAAGCTAAGGTTCAAAGCAGGGACCCATCTGGCTAAAGACAACCAATCAGGCATAACAAACCCATCAACAAACCCCACTTGGATTTCCATGACACCAAAGAAGGACCAATGAACATGCAAAAACCATTTACACATCGCCTTGAATCAGTACAAGTCCCCCAATCCGCATCTGTATACCCTTTTAGCCGCAGGTCAGAGGTAGCAGAATAGAACATACCTTGACCAATGGTTCCTTTGAGGTAATGTAAGACCTTGAAAACGGCTTTCATATGAGGTTGTCGTGGCGCTGAGGTGAACTGACAAAGTTTGTGAACCGCGAATGTGATATCAGGACGAGTGAAGGTGAGATACATAAGCTTCCCAACAAGTCTTCTGTATCGTTCCACATCCTCTATGAAGTCTCCTGTTTCCATGTTCAGTTTCTGACTAGGATCCATTGGAATAGAGGAAGGTTTACACCCAAGAAGACCTGTTTCATCCAAGAGATCCAATACATATTTGCGTTGGCATATGGAGATCCCAGCATCTGTCCTTGCAATTTCAAGCCCCAAAAAATACTTTAAAGGACCTAACTCTCTTAGCTTAAAGGATTCCTTTAAAGAAGCTGTAAGAGATGATGTGGCTGCAGAACAAGTACTAGCAATGATTATATCATCAACATATACGAGTACTGCCATGCAAACATTCTCAGACTTCCTTGTGAATAAGGTGTCATCACCATAACTTGACTTGAAACCCAAGGACAACAGAGACTGAGAAAATTTTAAAAACCATTGCCTTGACGCCTGTTTGAGACCATAGATGGATTTGTGGAGTTTACAGACAACATTTTCTGGAAAAGATTCCCCCTGTTTGGGAAGGTAACCAGGAGGTAAGACCATGTAAATTTCTTCTTGTAAGTCCCCATTGAGGAAGGCGTTTGAAACATCCAGTTGATCCAAAAACCACTTTCTTGGTGCAGCAACATAGAGCAAAAACTTAACAGTGGCCATGCGAGCAACAGGTGAGAAAGTCTTCACATAATCTAGACCCTCTTTCTGAGTATAGCCTTTAGCCACCAAACGCGCTTTATACCTCTCTAAGCTGCCATCTGCTTTTAACTTCACTGTATAAATCCACTTACATCCAACCGGCTTCTTACCTTGAGGAAGTGAACACACAGACCATGTATGTGTACGCTCAAAGGCTCCAATTTCTTCATCCATAGCATCACAAAACTCTTTCACCTTGCAAGCTTGTTTGTAACTGTTAAGAGTAGGATACTTGGTGAGAGTAGTCAAGATGTTGAAACTGTTATAGTTTCAGATGAAAGCTTGGGACAATTTCATAAATGTGATCAGCCAACAATTCTACATGAACTCCACCCTCGGATGGTTTCTAGATAGAAAATTGTATAGTTCAAAAATTTATATAATTAGCTTTGTAAAAGTATTGATGCTGGATTCTTTCGTATTAAACAAAAATCAAACTTAATACAAAAAAAAAAAAACAAAATTGAAACTTTACTTAGACAATGTCTCCAACACCCATTTTCGAAAGAAGCGCATTTACTGTAGTGGAGGATAGAAATAGGAGGAGACTGAAAAGCCGAAGAAAAGCAAGCCTCCAACAGTTGCAACCGTCCGTTGTGAGATCCTTAAAGCCAGCATGCTTCCTCCAACAACCGCTGGTGAAGTACACAACGCGTTTGTCCAATAGTTATGGACAATCCTATAGCGTTCTTGTGAGTCGCCAACTTCAAAAAAGATAAAAGTCATTCACTGGTCAATTTTTTTAAGAAGCTAGATTTGAAAGATGACTCTTACATCTATTGTAGCGATCTTGCTACGGTCACCCCATTCAGCTAGAAAGGTTAAGTTGAAGGACTGCAAGAAAAAACAACATAAAGGACTTTTTAAACAGTTTACGGCTAAATTACAAACTGAAAGCATCAATATGCCCAATATACAATTACCTCTAGAAATATTGGGGTACAAAATCTTGAGAATAAGCGACGGAAGGCTGTCTTCCCTTGGCATGACTTGAGCTTCTCTTAAACCTTTACCAAAGAAGATGGGAAGTCAAATAACTTTGAATGTTAATAACAAATAAGAACGTCAGGCATAATCTTTTTTAATTATAAAAATGCAAACAACCACCAATTTGAAGCCCGTTGACGTTTGGTATTTATAGATGCATTGTTCATAGGGTTAAGGTTGAGTCGGTTTTAGAATATCCTGGAAATCAAGTAGAAAATCTTAGATTTCTTAAACAAATTTTTGGATTATATGATCAATCACGATTAATGATAGAATTTTTTGTAAGGTAACAATATAGTTACGATGGAATATTGTAAAAGATTGTAGACCCCTTGATTTAGGCAATATTTTTATTTTGGAATATGTAAAGAATATGCTTAGTGTTTGTTCTAAATATAAGTTTCGATTAAATTATAATTTATAAGATTTAGTTACCATATATGTTTCGATTTGTAAGATTTAATATTTTTTTTCCAGGGAATCTTACCAAAATATATAAGCTAAAAAACTGTAGATTTAATCGAGATTTAAGGAACCAAATCGTTTTGTTGATATCTTCTATTTAATTTTGAAAATCTAAAGAATTTAAGACAATGAGATTTGAATGTCTAAGTTTTATTGGATATATTGGAGAGGAGAAATATTGAAAATGGTATTGTTAGAGTAATTAAATAAGATATGAAATCTCGGATGTGAGATTTTAGAAAGTCTTGATCGAATAATTATGGAGGAACAATGCTTGGGTTCACTCCTAGGGGTTAACCCAATTCATTCACCCCCTTTTTAATCACCAATCAAATTTTGACATGTCATCTAACTAGAACAATTAATATTGTTCTTAATATTATCTAAACAAAATAATTAAACTAAATCATTAAAAACTCAAAATCAAATTAATTGTAGGACCCACTACTCTTCTCCCACGTCTCTCTCTTTTGTTTTTTTTTCTTTTTTTTCAAATATTGTTTTTCTTCAACTTTAATAAAAAATGTAAAAAAATAATAATTTAGTTTCATCAGATTTAATCATTAAAAATTAAAATTGAATTAATTGTGGGGCCACTAACTCTCTCATTCACGTAACACTCCTAAATCCATTAGGAAAAAAAATTTAATATGTCAAAAACCCTAATTCTAAATGTTATATAAACTCATTAACCCTAACCTTATTCATAAGTTTTTTTAATTCTTCTTCTCACATATCATCAAAAGAGATTAGTTTTATCAAAAGAAAGAATTTCACGTTTCTACACAATTTAAACGTAAGTTAAAATAATTTTTATATTTACATCAAAGTTTCTTAGTTTAAAAATTATTCAATTGAAGATTTTCTATCTACTTGATTCATGTATTGAATATCATATAAGTAGGACGTTGTTTGTGTTTTGAAAACATGTTAGTACGTGAATTATTATTTTTGTTTTGTATGGTTTTATTTGTATTCTATTTTTTGGTAACTTAGTTTTCAATTGTCAATTTTTTTTTTTTGCACCACATAAAGAAGAATTGTTCTTCTTCGTCATATTTTTTTTTTGTCGTAAGATGGTACCGTGCTATTTTTTTTGTTTTATTGGCAAGATTTATACAACATAATAAATATATATATAATAATAATAATATATTGATTAGTGCAGATTGCAATGGAAAGTAGTGATGAGGAAAAATATGATTCAGTAAGTGAAGACGAAGCTTCAGTCAGTGAAGACGAAGCTTTAGTAAGCGAATTCGAAGAAGAAAAAGATGATATAGTCAACAAAGAGAACTACGTTAAAACTGAAGAGAAGAAAGATGAACTGAGTATTGGAATGGAGTTTAGTTCTGATGAAACTGCATATAAAGCTTATAAAAAGTTTGCAGGTGAACATGGTTTCAATGTAAGGAAACAATGGAGAAAAAAAAAATGATAAAGTAGTAAGGCTTCTCTATGTTTGCTCAAAATAAGGGTTTAGGAAGGAACCTAAGATCAAGACATGTTATTCACAGCCAATTACACAGTGTGGTTGTAAAGCTCATATGACTTGCTACCTTCAGAGGACGGGAAGATATAAGATTGTGTCTTTCAACCAGAATCATAACCATGATTTAGTGAAGACGCCTATGAAGCATTTGCTGAAGGGAAACCGGATGTTCTCTGTCGCTCAAATACAACATGCTGATGATGCCGAGATGTCAGGAATTTCAGCAAAATCAACTGTTGAAATGATATCGTAATTACATTTATTGAAAGCGAATGGAAAAAATGGTAAAAGGAGATGCTGGAGCAGTTTTGGAATACTTTCAAAAAAAGAAAGTGGATAATTCATCTTTTTTTTATTCAATGCAACTTGATGAGGACGATATGATCACGAATATCTTCTGGGCAGATGATCGGTCTATAAGTGATTATAATCTTTTTGGAGATGTCGTCTGCTTTGACACAACTTACAAGACCAATGAATATGATAGACCATTTGCTCCATTTATCGGGGTCAATTATCATAAGCAAACTATAGTGTTTGGTGCTGCTCTCTTATATGATGAAACCACTGAGTCATATAAGTGGCTTTTCGAGACTTTTCTTGGAGCAATGTCTGGAAAACAACCAAAAACTATTCTTACTGACCAATCTGCAGCAATGGCGAATGCAATAGTGAAGGTATTTCCTGAAACAAAACATAGGTTATGTGTTTGACATATTTACCAAAATGCTGCAAAAAAGTTGAGTCATGTATTTCATGGGCCAGGACAGTTTGCCACAGACTTTGGAAACTGTGTATATGACCATGAGGAAGAAGAAGACTGGCTATTGGCATGGAGTAATATGCTCAATAAGCATAATTTGACAGAGAATAAATGGTTAAAGAATATGTTTGAGGTGAGAGAAAAATGGGCAATGGTATATGGACGTCATACTTTTACAGCAGATATGATGAGCACACAACGTAGTGAAAGTATGAATAATATTTTGAAAAGATGCTTGAAGAGTAGTTATGACTTGTTGTCCTTCTTTGAACACTATGAGAGAGTGTTGGATGATCGGCGATATAACGAGTCAAATGCTGACTTCAAAATGATGCATACCTCTTCGGTATTATCTGCTACCGTAGAGATGTTGCAACATGCAGAAGAGGTGTATACACCCGAAGTTTTTAAGTTGTTTCAGAAGCAATATACAGTTATCGGTGATTATGTTGCTAAAAAAGTCAGCAAGTCTGAGATGGTGTATGAATACAAAGTATCTTATCGTGGTGGACCGCGAGAGCATTTGGTTAATTATGATGCTACAAACCAAACGATACAGTGTAGTTGCATGAAGTATTCTTTTGCTGGGATCTTATGTCGTCATGCAATGAAAGTATTGGATAAGAAGGATGTTAGGAGAATTCCATCTAGCTACATCTTGAATCGATGGAGTAAAGAGGCAAAATCACGAAACATATCTTCTTATCGTTCAGAGACATTTAATGGAACAGTAACGCAATCGATTGGAAAGCGTTATAGCCATTTATGTCACAATTTCCGTGAGATTGCATCTGTTGCTGCTGAACATGTAGAATTGACGATGTGTGCGAATGAAGCTGCATGTGAATTGATTAAAATATTGGAGAAAAAGAAAAAAGAACTTGTGAAGGCTAATGTATGGATGCTCCCAACTTCAAATGTTGAACATGTGGAAAGAGAAGAAGAAGACGAGGAAGTTCTAAATGCACGTGGAATTAAAAGAAAAGCTACTGTTGGACGACCAAAGAACAAAAAGGTCGGACCCCACGGTCGATATTTGACTGCTCTTGAAATGAAAAACCGGGGTACATCAAAGAGAAAATTATTGTTTCAGGTATTTGATAAATAATTCTTCTTTTTCGTTTATGTCCAATTTCCAGCAAAACGTGACTTCGTAAATATATGTATATATATATTAATTAAAAGATAAAATTGATAAATGCTTCAGGATTCAACTTTTGCTACTAGCAATCCGACATTACAGACAGAGCCATTTTCCTCACAAGTGCTACAAGTAAACTATTCATTCTTACTATTTATATTTGACTTTTCGGTGACTTCGTCAATAGTTGTATGTATATTAATTACAAGATAAAATCGATAAATGCTTCCGGATTCAACTTTTGCTTCCGATATCCACTTATCTGTAGCTACAAGCAATCCGACTTTACAGACGGGGTCTTTTTCTTCATAAGTGTTTCAGGTAAATAATTTACTCTTACTATTTATATTTGACTTTTCGGTCAAATTTTTCATTATTTGAAATCTTATATTTTGTAGGAATTCGACAAAAGTTACGGAGATTTATTGTAAACCTCGATCATTTTGAATACAAAGACAAAAAACATATGGAAATGTTAAAGCTTTACTATTAATTATTTTGGTTAAATTTTTTTTTTTACATTTTTTATTAAAGTTGAAGAAAAAAAATATTTGAAGAAAAGAAAAAAAAAACAAAAGAGAGAGACGTGGGAGAGAGAGAGAGTAGTGGGGCCTATAATTAATTTAATTTTGATTTTTTAATAATTTAGTTAAATTATTTTATTTAGATAATATTAAGAACAATATTAATTGTTTTAGTTAGATGACATGTCAAAATTTGATTGGTGATTAAAATGGGGGTGAATGAATTGAGTTCACCCCTAGGGTTGAACCCAATAATTGTTCATTATGGAAAGATTTGTGCCAATATTGTTGAGCTGTAAATGGTGGATTTAAATTGTCGAAATTATACATTAAATGCCAATTATACGGTCATTAATTTGTTGCTTAAAATCGTTTTGTTAGACATTTAGGAGAGAAAGAATATCGTAAATAGTATTTTTGGAGTAATTAAAATTAGATATGAAATATGGGATAGAAGATTTTAGAAAGTCTTGGTCGAGTAATAATGGAGAGATTTATGGCAATATTGTTGAGGTGTAAATCTTGGATTTTAATTCTGAAATTAAATATTAAATGCCAATATTATACGCATATTCCATTTAAAAACAGTTAATAATTACTCATTAGTTATTGTTTTAAATTTTTGGGAGGTGTGGTGAGAAGTTAATTAAGGAAATTATAAATATGGTTAATAAAAGAATTAAATTCGTTTTTTATTACAAACTTCCTTAATTTTCTTATCCACGATCCGAATAGTATTAATCCGGGTAAAACCCGGATCCAAATGAATTAATGCAAAAAAACTCTGTAAAAATGTATATGTAGATTCTCACTTTTCAGCTTTTGGTGGTTTAATGAGGTATTTGATAATGTGAAAGTGTGAAACTCATAGCATGTTTTGGTATGTATCTTCCGATTTTTATCAACTTTAGTAATCTTTCTTTTGTGCAGGACGGATATGAGTGGAGCTTGCCTGTGGAGATCAATAAGATAGTTGTGGAAACATCTGAAACTCACAGAGAGCCGTGTTTGAAGCTCAAGTCTAGTAATGCCATCTTCTACATAAACTTCAGCGCTAAGGGGCGTGACTACAGATCTGTTGTAAGGAGATCGACGGACGGGAAAACAGGACATATTCAAATCAATAAAAATGAAGAGAGAACTTACGATCCTCTTGACTGGAACCATCTTTGTATGATAGGTTTTTCACAATTTTGGTTTAGATATCTCTTCGAATTGGGTACTAAACTAGATCATATTAGTCTAATTTAAGCGAGGAAATTGTTCCTACCCTAAAAAAATTATGAAGAAGTCTTTTTTTTTTTGTCAACTTTGATGATCTTATTAAAATTTGGCAAATACAAAGCCGACGAAGGAATTACAATTTCCAGGAGACAAATCCATAAAAACGACAAAGTTTCCAAGAGACAAATCCTTAAAAAGGGAAATAACCAAAGCTATAAATACAAAGATTAACACATACAATTAAAGCAGGTAATAAACTATATTAAACCTGAAAGGCTGAAACTAGTCAAAACCGTGGAGACCTACAAGTTTTCTAACCTTCCATAGACACCCCGAGAAAGCCAACAGCAGTACACAAAGTACCACCACGCACACCAAAGGAAGAAGAATCCTCCTATAAAGACAATCGAATAAAAGACATAGGCTTCAAAACCCCGCAAGAAAGCAGTACACAAAGTACCACCACGCGGCAATGTGTCACTATGACTTTTAAACGCCTCAAGAGAAGCCAAAGAGAAGCCACAAACAAATCTGATATGTAGAGAAAAGGAGAGAACACGAACTAAACCGGTTTGCAACCAAAGACCAATGCCCAAACGGGTTCGTAACCGGATATATAGAAGAAACCAAGGCAATCCTCTAACGAAGAAAAGAAAACATAGATAAACATGGGCGGAGGCAGAGTGTAATTAGGGGGGTCAGTTGACCCCAATGCATTATAGTTTTTGACTCCTATATCAAACTAATTCAACTATATGGGATAAAAATGTCATTAAAACAACAAAATAGCCAAATAAGTTTGGTTCATTAGAATTTGGTTTAAAATTCTAATCTATACTATATAAAATTCGAGGCCATAAGCTCCTGAGGCTGTCCACGTAGGATTTTAAACCACCAATCGCGATTAGCCATCTCTTTAATTAACATTTTTGAAATTATAATATTTTCAATTTTTGTAGTTTTTTGTAAAATGGAAAAAATCAACATATGGAAATTAGAGAAATATTTGAAAATATGGAAAGTCTTTTAATATTTTGTCATAAAAAACATAATATAAAATTATCAAAAAAAAAAGTTTTTTTTATTAAGTTTATTATATTTATAAACAAAAATACACAATTTATTATTAGCCTCACTAAATTTATAATAAGTACTTCATAAGTATTTCATCTTTAATAACAATAGCCATTTATTCACGGTAACTATCTCAATGACAGATATTTTTAAAAATTTATGAATTTTATATTAAAAGAATTTATAGATAAGAGAAAATATGATAATATATTGAAGCAAGATGTATATAAATTTTGTTATTATAATGCATAAAATAATTCATATTAGTTTAACGAATTTTATTATATTGTCATATTTTATAATCGACCAATCGTAATTAGCCATCTCATTAATTGACATTTTTTGACATTACGTTAATCAACATATTTTATATATTAAGATAGTTATGAAAAAGAAAAAAATATATATGAAAAAAATAGAAATGTAAACTTTTGAAAAACAACATACGGAAATAAGAAAACCATCATTAAAAAATGTTAATTTTTGAAAAAACAATATTTGGAATACATTAAACTTATATTCTTATTTTTTTAATCATCTTATTTTCTAATAAAAAACTATATTCGATAAACCCTAAAATCTTTTTAATATAAATAATAACCGTAGGCATCTCATACTATCATAAGTTCTTAAGTTTGTAAGTTTTGAGTCGTCAGTAACAGTAAGTGTTGGTTACTACTCTTATTGGCACCTCTTTATATTTTTTTATCGCTTTTGCCACTATAGGCCGCTCTCTCTCCGTCAGACTTTTTCTACTTTATATCTCTGATGAGCCATAAAACATGTGTTTGTGTATGATCTTATAGATGATTTGATGTTATTTGCATAAAAATTTTGGGTCTGAAGAAAAAGGATCGAGGAGAAGCATCATTGGTCGATGTTTGTACTCTTTCATGTCGATTATCAATCGTAAGACCTTGATTTGATATTGTTTAATTTGAGATAAAACTTTGGGTTTAAAGAAGAATCGACAACAAGCACACATGTTTGATTAGCTATACATGTGGCCATGTTCATGTTACTTCCTCCGCAAGTAACTTAAAATTTTGTAGCATTAAGGATTTTGGTTTGAAAAGTTTCTATATGTATGGATCTTAAATCGAGAATACGTGAGACGGTATCAATAATTGAGTGCAGGTGGTGGCTAAGCTGGGCTTGAATTGCACAAATCTTATGAGAAAATAGGCAATTATTGCAGGAGGTTTGCTGGGAAACAAGTTGTGTGGTACTTTAAAACAAATTATTTAGAATGGTTATTCAGTGCAACTGATGAATGCAGCATCAATTGCTTGTACCCGAGAAGTGTCACATGCTAATAAATCTAGAGAAGTGGTGGTGGCGGTGGGAGTTGAGGAACATACATATAAGACAGTGCAAGAAAGCTTTCTTGGGAAAAATGTCTTGGTCAATATAGTGAAAATTGTTTACGTTAAACTGTAAGTGGATGCAGATATGGCTATTGAGGTAGCTTTTTGTGTAGTTCTTTTTAAAAACTCAGGTTGTATATACTTCAGTTGGATAATATCTAACCAGTCAAAACTCAAAAGGTATGAAGACTTGTGTTAAAATTGTGGGAAAAGTTGTTCTTTTTGGAATACCAATTTCAATCAAAATCGAGAATTAACGAGATGTTAGAAAGGTAATAAATTTAATTGATGAGAGTTTCCTTGCATTATGAACAATTGATGTCATAATTTAGGTAATAAAGAGGGTTGATTTTGATGTAAAAATGGAAGGAGAAAGAGAAAAACGCGGTTGACACCACAAGAAAAACTTGGATTATCAAATATGGAAAAGAAAAGTGAGAAAACAGTTATGACATAACCTCTGTATGACAACGTTTAGTTCATATGTAGCTGAAACTTGACGGCGATGTATCTGGTATTACTGTCTTGAGGTTGAATATTGGGATATTGATTTAAACGGCTTTTTGTGTATATTGTATCTTAGCTTCTATAACCTGTTCGAGTAGATTTCTTTTAAAGTTTCAAATCTAACCAGCCATGTGGAGACAGCAAACGAACATCCAAACGTACACAGAATAATCTAAAATTTGGTAGGAGTATCATGGAGACGTGGAATTAAGTTCGGGTAGAAAGGCATTGAATTTCGAGTTCAGAAGGTCAAATGAACGACGTTGTTTCGGGTAGTTAGTTCATAGGCTTATGGAGATTTGTTTAGTTAAGGTTAGTAAGTTTAAAGTTCATGTTCTGTTTTTAACCACATAATAACGAATGTTTTACATAGAAGAAGATGAAGAGAATTAGGAAAAAAGTGAAGAAGGTATAACGAGGAAGAGAAAGAGGAAGAAGACGAGTATAACGAAGAAGCGTAAACGGTCGGTGAAAGTAACGATGCCAAGAGCCATGAAAAGTTGACAATGAAGATGACGAGAAAGAAAATGAAAAGTAAGAAACGATGTATGTGAAGACAAATACGAAAGCATAGGTGTTGGCAGCCAATTGAATATGAGAAAATAATATTGATTCATGATTCTTTTGATCTGATTTGATTCTTAAACACTATTGACTTTTATAATTTTTAAGATGGTGTATTTGGAATGAACTTTTTCCAAAACTCTCATCATATATAATTTTTACCAAAATATATCAAATAAACCCACGCGTAGCGTGGGTTCAAAACCTAGTGTAATAAAATAAAAAATCCTTGACTTATTTAAAATAAAGATCTAATATTATAATTACTTATTAAAAAAAACCCCACAATCTTTTTTTGCTTTTGTTAACCTTTGTGGACCATAACAAAAAATTGTAAATATTAATTTGGTTGATTTTCAGATTTTTTTTCTTAAGTGTAGATTATTTCTAGACAAAACTAATAATAAATTTTATATAATATATTATTTTTATTAAAATATTTGACCCCTGTAACCAAATTTTCTAGCTCTGCCACTGTAGATAAAAAACCAACTTCTAGTTGTATATTTTATTAACTTGAACTAAGACAAATATTTCATTATTTTGTATTCGCACACAAAAAAAAAAAAAAATTAACTCAAGAAATAAAATAAAAATCTGGATACAAAGTAATTTGTTATGTATAAAAAATAAAACGATCATCCAAAATAACGTTATAGGAAATAGATCGTCGAAGTTTGAGACTTAGGGCTTGCGAGCGAGAGAGAGTGAGATCTTCAGGATCGGAGATGGCGGATGTTCTGCGGAAGCTATTGGACGGTGGAAAATTATCCGACGAAAATTGCCGCTTGGTTTTGCGTGGGTTGGGCAAACAAGTCGATGAGCTGCATTTATCCAAAAACAAAGCAGTCGATGAATGGTCATCTGACGAAGAAGAAGAAGTTGACGAAGAATATTGTCGCCAAGTAAAGGAATCTCTGGTAACGCTGCTTATCACAATTCTAGGGTTTTGAATTTAGGATTGGGGTATTTTGTCACGTAATTGATTTTGATTTGGTTAGATCTTAGATTTCTAGCAGAATCCTGAACATGTGATTTTGTGAATTTTGATAGTCTCTGTTTTGGTGAATTCTGTTTTGTGCAGGGTTTCGATATCGATATGAATGTTCGTATACCAGAATGGGGAATTGCACCATATGAGCTAGGCGATTATGAACCACCTATAGACATTTCTCTTTATGGTCGCTTGGGAGTTCATTGTTTCAACTTTGAGAAGGTTTAGTGCAACTTTGCTTGTGGTTTGGCTCAGAGTCTTATGGTTTTCCTTGTTCTTGATCCATTTTGTTTTTCAATCTTTGCAGGGCAGGAATTTACTGGTTATGCGAATACCTAAATACAATATTGAGCTTGTTCAAACTAGGGCTTACTATATAACAATGGAGGTGGAAGATCTTGCTGATAATTCGTCGGTTCACATTTTTCAGACCTTGGTGACAAGATGTTTTCCCAGGAACAACGCATCCTTAGTAGTCTTTACCGGAATCTGCAGACTTAAACCCGAGATACCAGGTAACGATTTATCACATCTCAAGATTTTGAATACTGTATTGAAAAGTATGTTATGTTTTGGGATGTCAAGAACTAGCATGCATTTATACTCTCTATTGAACTCGGTTTCTTTCTTTGTGAAAGCCTTTTTTAAAGTTGCATTCATGGTTTGCATGGTTAAAGCATGGATGGATGTCTGTTCTTATCATTGTAGGTGAAGGAGATGCTGATGCTCGGTTGGATGAGAAAGCAATATATGAGTTTTACAAAGGCTCTATGCCTGACTTTTTGTCCGAGACAAAACTTGATGATAAGCTGAGATTCTACGAGGTAAAAGGTGTTTCCTCTATGCGTTTGAAAGAAATTCTCTTCTACAATTCATTAAACATGTTCTGTATGTGTTTATTTGCTTGAGGTATATATGCTCCTCTTATGCATTTTATATGTTGCTATGTTTAACAGGTTCAGGAGCAGGATATATGTGAAAATGATTGGCTTCGTCTATATACCGAATTTGCACTTTTCTGCTTTTGGTGGTTTAATGAGGTATTTGCGAGTGGGAAACTGGTTGGATGGTCGGGTTTAATCGCATATTCTTGTGCAATTTATAAACTGGAGTAAGCTTTTGTTGTGAAGGATGGATTTAAGTTTAGTTTGCCTGTGGAGATGAAGAAGATAATTGTGGAAACCCGTGAAACTGATGGAGAACCGTGTCATAAGCTGAAGTCTGGTAATGCCATCTTCTACATAAACTTCAGGGCCAAGAGCCGTGACTACAGATCGGTTGTAAGGAGAACAACGGATGGGAAAACAGGGCATATAATTCTCGAAATTAATTGCTGGGACGATCAACCAAGCCCCGCCTTGACCGCAAATGCTACCAAATAAAGGCTTTAAAAACTAATTTACTCGTTTTCATCTGTTAATGTTGCCAAACCTTATCATGTCGTTTACTAGTGTACTACTTTCTTATTCACCTCTTTATGAAGGCTTATTTATGTTAGATCACATTATGAAGTCTTTACAAAATTTCAGTTTTACTTCTGATTATATAACTTTGTAACTATTGTCTATGTAATAACAACAGAAATAAACTTTTAATAATCTCTTTAGTCACGTCCAAAATAGAATCAGAAAACTAAGTTTTTCAGCTCGAAAGACGATAAGTTATGAGGTAATTATAAAGGAGCTCCAGTGATCTTTGGTTCTCAACCCATGAACGATGTGGTTCACTTATTATTCTTGTTTTTGCCTGATGTTGCTCCTTCCCTACAACATCAAAAGAATCCAAAACATAAGACACCAAAGCTGATAAGCCATTCACAATCCGTGTATGAATCAACTAGTAATTGTTTTGGTATTGAAAGCTGACCTTCGGTCCATACTTGCTATTTTTTTTGCTGTATTTTCCTTCAATCTCTTCTCGTCATTTTCATCTAAAACCTCTGGAAAACAGAATCTGACAAGTAGTGGGGTGGGTTCTATGAAATAATCTTTCTCATGCTTTTGATATCCTTCACCAGTTCGGAGAATCAATGCATCAATCGAAATCCGGAAATAGCCGCCCTTTCCCACACCCACACCATGACTCGATCTAACCCACATAAAACTCTCCCCGTTTTCAACTCCTGCTCCCGTTACCGAGACAGCGTGCATGCCCATAAACATAGAATCCGGATGCATTGGTCCACGGTAAATTCCCTATCAAAAACATAGAAACATTCAACAATATGATATTTATTCTCAATTTTCTGTTTAAACATTAGATATATGCAAATACATGAGTAATGATATACCCCTTTAATATTTTCATAATCCGGTTGAAAGATTGGCATTGCCGCTCCCAGGGGTTGTGTTTGCAAATGAATGAGAGCTTCTTCTACGGTAGGGATCGACTTGGCGGCACCAATATACCCTAGGTGGGGATTGGATAAAACCCGAGGTGGTGGAAACTCTTTGCACCCATCGAAAGGCCGGTCAACTGCTTTTTGAATACCTTGTTGAACAACATACCTCAAGGCTTTTAAGATGCTGAGCCTATAACAGAAATGCGCCTTATTGTTTCGAAGCTTTCCCTTCTCCGGAAACACAAAATCTACAAGCTCTTGATACGAGTACTCAGTCCCGTTTTCACGTTGTTTGATCCACCGTATTGCAGTGACTAATTCAGCCGTCACAATGGCCCAACATATATCTACATTTTATCAAAGTTTTTTTATAGTTACCAATTTTAGGAAAAACAAAAACCAGTTCATAAGTAAAAACAGCTTAGAATTTGAAACTCTACCGTGTTCTCCCTGATCTTTCACCGGACCATAAAAAGGTCCCCAGTCCACCTTCTTCGTTTCATCGGGCACTACCTTTATTGGTCGACAAGTGAAAAAGCAGAAAACAACGTCATAAGTACATTACTTAATTTGCTCATGTATTAACAAAGTAAAAATCATTCAAACATGTTGTAATTCTTACATCTAACATCATTGAGGTTAGTTCACTCTTTATTTATGTCTCTCTCTTTATCACACTATGTTCTTGTTCTTGCTTAGAGAGGAACACAAGAAACGTTTTTGCTTTAATCTTCTACATTGTATTAATTGGATTACAAGGATAATTCTTACAAGATACAACACACACATACTTATACTACTTTACTTCTACTTTCTACATACACATACACACTTGCACTTGGACCTTACTCCTAGTTCTAGACTCTCTTACACAAGCAAGGTAGCCACCCTACACATTGACATTGGAACACTAGTTCCTTGATTTACTCTCTCTTTTAGACTCTAACTAGGACTTAGTTTACTTTAGTTATTACAACTCTTCTTGTTGGACCTTAACCAAACAACCACAAAACACTTATTCGTATGGGCCTTATCAAATCACCAATGGCCCAACTCACAAAACACAAACCCATTTGGTTTGATGACTTTCCTTTCTTCCTTTGACTCTTCTCTTCACGATGTCTTTTCTCTGACATCGTCTTCTTCTTCCGATGCTTCTTCCTCTGTTCTTCATCTTCTTCTTCTCATGGGTTCTTCTTCTCTTTTGCAAGTTCAATCAAGGATACAATTCCAACAAAACACCAGAAATTAACAAATCCCCAATTCCAATTTAGGGATTTGAATCCCTTTGCTTCTTCTTCTTCTTCTTCTCTGGAATCGCCTCTTCCCTGTGCGACTACAATATTTTCACCTTCTACCTTAGGTTTCACTACTTTTTTCTTCACTCTGAGTATCTCAAATTTTCCATCAGGTTCAAGTTTTAGAATCTCGAGAAATGTTGAAAGTGGGATGTATTGTCCAATCTTCTTTAGTTCTGAAAAGAGTTGATCGGATTCGTATAGAATCTCAACCTGCGTAGATTTACGACATCATTAAATCATCAAAAGAACATCTCTTTACTTCGTCAGATCAACATTACTTCCAAGAAACTAAATTGATCAATTCTTAACTTACTTTAATAGGAAGTTCCTCCATTGATGTTTGGAAAAATCACAAGACTTCCTGCGCACGCAAACTGAAGAATGTTGAAATCAAGACTTCGATCGCTCTCAATCAAAGTGTTTTGATGGAAGAAGAAGAAGAAGAAGAAGAAGAAGAAGAAGAAGAAGATAAATGATCTCATATTCTCATGAATTGAGCTTAAGAACAGCAAACCTACCCTTTTTCTATGCGTCTCGCAAGATCGCACAAGAAAGATCCTTCTCTCTCTGGAAGATAAGTTCGACTACACACACTGGATCACGAAGATGAAGAGCACACTCGTATTGGTAACCAAGAAACCTCTGTTTTAATCGACATTGAAGAACGACATTTACAAACCTAAAGCGTGGAGTGCAAGAAACAAGAATATTTATTGAAGAACACAAATATGTGTTTTATTTTAACCTTCACGAATTGAATAATCGAACTGTATGCAATGTGTATGAAGAAGATGAAAGAAGAAATGTGATTGTTTAGTTATCTCTGTTAATGGCGTATATATCAAGAAGACGAGATCAAAAAGAGAAAAAGAAGAACGAAGAAAGATTACGACTACTTACTATAACTGAACATGTCTTTAGTCTATAATCGACGTCAACACGAGAACGCGTTTCAACTCTTCTTTTGTTTTTCTTTTTATTGGGGAAAACTAATAACATTGTGTTTTTCACTATGTGTTTTACAAGAATTCAACGTGGAGCACTAATTGCACCCAAGAATGGATTGTTTTTTTTGGTTTGTTAGCATTAAGATTCCATTCTTTGTTGTTCCATTAGAGGCAATATCGTAACTATATATCATTTTGATTACAAGGTTATAACATTATATAAGAGAAATTATGTAAAATAGACACTTTTTTAACAAATAATTTACAAAGTAGGTAGTTTTTTTAGAAATTAGAAGAATAGACATTTTTCTCTTTCCTCTCTAATACAACTTTCTATCTAATAGAGATTTTAGTAAATGACTTATATATATCCTTTGTTGTTTTGTTATCTAGCAAGATAAAGACAAAACTATTATTTTTTCTCTTTCTTCTTTTAACTTAAACTTAAATACTTTTATTTTGTTTTGTTTTGTTAAAAATTCTTCATAAAAAATTATTACATAAACATATTAATCTTTAAAATTTTTAAGTGAATCCAAAAAAGTTCAATTTTGCTATATTTTATATTTTTTTAATTTAATCTCAATCCGTCGGTGTACAAAATAATGTAAAAAATGGTGTACAAATTGTAGTGTACGGCGATAATATAAAAATTAATGTATACTATTAATGTAAAAGTGGTATACAATATGTAAACAGTATACAAGGTGATGTACAAACGACAATTGATAGAGGTGTACACGTACATAATACGATGGTGTACGGAGATGATGTAAAATATGGTGTACATAAAACGATGAGATAGTATGTCGCACCATATACCACCTCGTGTGTAGTCTACAATATCGTACACCCACCTATTTTGTACTTGTACACCACATACAAAGAAATAACCATTTTTGTCAAGTGATAATGTATAAAACAATATTTACACAATAGTGTACGAGATTGGTGTACAGAAGAGTGTACAAACGTTAGTGTACACTACGTAGAAATGTACAAACATTATTTCAATTTAATGGTATACACCATCATATTCATTGGTGTACATGATGGTGTACACTATTATATTTAGTATAACCTATGGTTTATATTACAATCGTGTTTGTATTAATATTATGAACAATAATTACTTTAATTTACAAATATAAGACAAATCGATGTACTTAATGACTTGGTGTACAAGTTAGTGTACAAAACTATGTTTAAAATGCTGGTGTACGAGATTGGTAGCAGAATATATACAAATCATCTTTTTTTTTTTTAAGATTCTTTTTTAAAAAAGAAAACCAAAAAAATTAAGAAAAAAAAAAGTAATGATATAATATATTTTGAACCAATAATATAAAAGATTTGAACCCACACAAAAAGCTAACTCACAAAAGACAAGGGGGTAAAGTGGTATTTGACTTCTTTCTTGTCTTTTAGTCTATTACACACCACTTCTATCTCACAAAAGAAATAAAAAGTGTCTATTTCACAAATTTAAAAAAAAACTACCTATTTCTCAAATTACTTTTATAAAAGTGTTTACTTTGCTAAAAAATCCATTATATAACTCACTAATTAAAAAAGTTAACATTTTCAGAGAAAACGTACAATGATAATTAGATTATAGAACTAATAAACAATCAAATTTAGTTTCTTAGTCTTGTAACTTATTTATTTTTAAGTGAATTGAAACCTATATTTCTAAATACAATGTAATATATCTATATATATATCAATGTTGGATTCTATATTTAAATTGCATTGCTAATTTTTAATTTATTTAAAAAGTTAATTTCATTTGGTCAATGAAATTTCGGACTATGATTTTTAATACTTTAAAATTTATATTTTCACTAATCAAATTAGCAACTCAAACATCTAACAATAATATTTGTATGTTATACATTTTAGTTGGATTTTCATACTTAATAATGATATCCATTTTAGTTGGCTTTTTATACTTAATTTTACAACTAAGATATATAAAGTTAAATACGTTATAAGAATAAAAATATAATTTGAGAATTATTAACTTCTAGGTCCTAATTATTATTATAATAATGGAAGTGAAGATGTTACTTAAACCGTAGTGCTCTTATTATGACTTGTTTCATATATATCTTTATTAGTTTTAGAAATCTAGATTTTGGTATTTGACAAATTATAAACTATTATATTTCACAAATTTTAAAATATATTACAACTCAGACTCAACTATTAAAATCTTCCACAGCACCAAATGGCAAGTTCTAGAATCAGACACATCTCTAAGAGAAGTTCAAAACTAAACAGACACATTATGCCTGAAAGATTTCATGATTTTATTGAAGATTCCAAATGAATACAAGAGAAGAGAGAAGAAGCTTAGACTGTATTGAAACACAATCTCATCAATCATAGTTTCATCAACGTCTCTTCGAGTCCAACAACGTGGACTTCACACGCGCTAGAGCATCTTCGATACCTCAGGAGTTCCTTGAAGATGATATACTCTTCCTTCATACTACGACCTCCCAAACATATAGTAAGTTTCTTGAGGCTTGCTGAATTTTCAAGGAAATACTTTATTAGTTTCATTTCTACTCCAACTCCACCAATTGGATTTTTCATCTCGATGCTCTCGAGTCTTGACCACAAACACCAAGGCACATATGAGAAACGAATTTGCTCTTTCTTCCTAGTGGAAACATTCAGCTCCTGAAAAAAACACAAAAGATGAATAGGATAAATCTTTTCAAAAGTATTAATCCAATAATACCAAACAAAAACTAGTACCACGACGAGTGATTTGAGATTTGGACAGCTATTGAGAAGGTCAGGCAACATTTCCAAATCATCAGCAAAGATTTTAGCATGCAAATGAGACATGTTATAAAACTGAGGTATGGGTTCTTGTTTCGAGTATTGATGGATAACCTGAAAAAAAAAATGAATAATTAAGGAATATAATTTAATTTATGAACCAAAGTCACATGTTAGATTTATTGACATTATATACCTTAAGAGTATTCCAACATATGGTCATATCCTTGACACTCGAGATCCTGCCGAGAAAATTACCAATGCTACTTCTCTTTTCCAAGTCATTTGGATCCAAAACACCTTTCACATTGAAATCAACAGCGATATCTACCTTGGCAGGTGAAGACAAGCTATATATCTTAAAACTATCGGATTTATTATCTTTAAGACTTAAATACTTGATTCTAGGGCAATAAATCACAACTTCCCACTTGTCAATATCAAAATGGTTAGTAACATCATCACTGCGAACCAGATTGAGAGTATTTATTGTCTGAGAGCCCACTCGGATGACCTTCAAATCATCTTGACTTCTAACTATGCTCAAATCCTCAAGAACAGGACAAGACACGATAAGTGCCTCTAGAGTCGCAGGATTTTTGAACCTAACTTCTTCTAAATGCATTGTCTTAAGACGCGGTAAAGAAATATGGTTCAACTCATTAAAGAACATGCAACGAAGTCTCAAGCATACCAAAGTCTGGCAGACAAAGATCCTTATAGGCAGAAGATCAAAACCATCATATCTCTTAAGAAAATTAATCTCAAGATGTTGAAGTTTACGTGTAACCGCTGCATCCACCCATGACTTGATAGCCAAGGGATCAATCTTTTCTCTCTTGGAAGTAAGCTTGAGGTTTTCAATCGGTGTCTCAACAGGGAAAACAAATCTATTGACAAAATTCACAAAGGAATTGTAATCAGGGAATTCATTGTCATCGAGATCTAACTTGGGAACCGAACGCCAAAGTGATCTCCATCTAATGGACAAAAGACTTGTCTTAACAACATCTTTTGTAGGAAGATTCAAGAGTATCTTACCAAGAAGAAGATCTGGTAATAAGCTTATTCGATCTTCCCTACCATTGATACGATATCTTTTACCATTATTTTGCATCTCTTTTCGAAAATGAAACATCTTTCACAACACCTTATTCTGCAAATCAGTCGAAAAATGTAATCAGATGGCTACGAAAAATCTGTTTTTTTTGGTATTAATCTAATAACAATCTCAATAAATACTTTCTATGGTTGCCAAAATATCCACTTTTATTTAAAATTTATAGATTTTGTATATGTAAATGTTTTGAGTATTTATTGGTTCAAAGAAATAATTAAGACTAAAAGTAGTATATAACATTGATATCAAAATCTATAGATAAATCGTTATAGTATTTAATTTTCCTTGTCAATGGAGAATTAACACATAAAAATTATATTTCCCTATCGAGAAATAAAAAAATCCATGAAAAGCCTGATACGAAAGTAATGTACCTCGGCTAGCTTCAACAATGAGTCATTCAAAACCTACAGCTGAACAACATAAAATTTAACGAGATTTTGTATCTTTGTTTTTCCTTTTGTTTTTGTAAGCACTAAAAGGAAGACATGAATCTTATTTTGGATGACAGGAAGAGAGTAAGCTCAAGGAATTTATATTTTGAATAATATCCAAATTCTAAAGTCAAACAAAAGGAAAGGTAATTTTATGTTTTTAGTTAATACATCTATACTAGTATTTTTGCAACACTTTGGTAACGGGTGGCTAAAAATGCTTCCGGATATATCGGATACCCGACCCGTTTTTAAAATTCCTTCACAAAAAATTTGTTGGGTCGGGTTATATTTAACCCAACTCATACACCGAATATTCCATATTTAATAATTTAGATATTTAGAAGATTTGATTAAGATTTATAATTATGATTTTCCTATCATTTTTTTTTATTTGTTTTTAACTGTTTTGAATCATCACATAATACATAAAGTAAAAAAAAAATCAATTTTTTTTCAGCATATACTGTGATTCGAAATTTTAAAAACGTACATATATTATCCAATCGACGAAAATGTGTGTTCAACGTTCTACATCGATTAAAATATTTAGACAATGATTCAGAATCATATCATAAATAAGAACATTAATAAAATAAATGAGTTTTTTGGCGGGACGGGTTTGGCGGGACGGGTTTGGCGGGACGGGTTTTTGAATCAACAATAATAAAAAGATTAAAATATCATTAATCCGCCGCTTCAATACGGATTAAATCTTTTTTTTTTTTAATACCACAAATATTAGACATATTAAATCAGTCTCATTTAGAAAAGATTGTATAAAACCAAAAATTGTCCCGTGGTATAATGTTACTTAATAACAATATTTTATAAAATTTTAAAATATCATTAACATGATGCTTTAATACATATTAAATCTTTAGTTTATTAAAATATAAATGTCTTAGAGAATGATATGATTTGTAAACTTTTATATATAATAAATAATCATTAAATTTTAAAATAAAAACAAATCACGGGATGGGTTAAGAAATTATGGAACGGGTTATATTTCGGAAAGGATTTATATGCCGGACGAATTTGAATCAATATTTATATACCGCTTTAATACGGGTTAAATCCTCAGTTTATTAATAATTGTCTCGTGGACTCGTGGTATACCGTTACTTAATAACAATTGTAAACTGTAATAGAAATAAATATGTTATAAAGAGATATAATTTACAAAATATTTTTATACTAACTTTAAAATTAAATCATCCCGCGGTGTACCGCGGGTTAAAATCTAGTTAACAATTTATAAATCAAAGTCAAGTATTTGTTATTTATTTAGTTTCAAATTTTGGCTCGTTATTTATTTCGTTAAATCAGTTATTTTGGCGCGCTATTTAATTTTGTTAATAGAGCTAGTTATTTAACAGTATTAAGTTTTAAGTCTAGGATGCATTGATTTTGACTTTTATCATTTATGTCATGTTGAATTTGGAACACAGTTTTGCATTTATAAAAAATTTTGAATGATGTTTGGGTTTCATACTCATTTTTAAGGTATCCCATATATCTCCACCTCAGTTACTCGGTGGTTCATGATTCTCTCTCTTTCTCCTCTCAGATCTGTTTCTCTTCTCCCATTCGGGGTCGGGCCCCTCCTCCCCCTCGGCTTCTCTTCCTTCTCGGCCTCACTCTCCCTCAGATATCTCTCCTTCCCTTCTTCCTCTCTTCTTTTCCCGATCTATCTTTCTCGCCTCCTCCTTCGATCTGCTTCTCTTTCTCTCGGATGTTGTTGATGCACGACGAGGCTGGCAACGGCGGCTTGTGAATTGAAGAGGACAAGTCAGGGCCTAGGGTTGCGACTCTCTCTCTCTCTCTCACGCACTCCATCTATCCATCTCTTCATATCTTAGGGTTTGTGGGTAAAGGCTCTCTCCCCTACACCCAAATTGTAGAAACTAGATAAGGATTTGGGAGAAAACTCTTTATTATGTGTTGTTCATCTCAAAAGAGTTGATACCCATATATAGAGACTAATTTAGGTTTAACCTAATTAGATTAGGAAATAGATAAATATGAATAAGTAAATATTCTAAATCTCTTAATCCTTATCACAATAGGATATCTAGAATATTATTCGGCTTGGACTTTACGGGTTAACTTCATAAACGGACTTTGACGATCCACAATAGTTGGTCCGCAAGATACACATCTTGCTCTCTAAGATACCTCCAATACAAATTCTTATATATGTTTCTCCATACGCCAAAAGGCTAAGTTGGTTTTATTGGCTTGGCCTAAACCTACAATAAATATTGGGTTGGTGATTTGGGTTATCATTTAGAAACAAATTTTTTACTCATTATATTAGTTTCATCTAGAATCATTTGTATTAATTGTTCGTAATTCATCAACATGATTCACAATGCTACTTTTGATTTCGCTCATAAAAAACCTTATATTGAAAACTAGAATATTCACAGATTTTGTTATTAGTGTTATATATATCCCATTAAAAAAAAAACTAAATTTAAATTAAATAAATAAAATTATGAAGTAAATAAACTATATATATACAAATATGTATATTATTATTGTTTGTTATTTAAGTTAGAAAAACAAATCATGGCGACAATTTGAACAGATCCAATGTATATTAATATTGTATGTTATTTAAGTTATAAAAAATAAATTATGATGACAATTTGAACAGATTCATCCTGCAGCTGTGAAATGTTCTTAGACCGGACAGCGTATGTATTATAAAATGTTCTGATTTTACAATTCAGAAAAATTATTTGAACCTAAATATATCAATAGCCTTAGCTATTGCAATCATCTTAGCCTGATGAGATTTCTTACGAAGGGCTTCCTTGTTAGCTTTACTTCTAGCTCTCTTCTTGGCAATTTTAGATTCGTTAAGATTCTTAAACCATCTCCAATGGTGAGAGACTACCATGGCTCTCACCAATTATTTAATTTAAATTTTGTTAATTTGTTAGATGAGAGTTTGTGTTTTAAAAAAAAAAAATTCATAGTCCAATGGTAGTCTCTCTAGTGAGGTTCTTAGAAAAAAATAAATTAGAAATTATTATATTTTATAAAACTTAATAATTATTGCAATTATAAAATATTACATACATTATTTTCAAACATATTAAAAATAGATGTGAAAATCAAAAACTGGAATAACGATTAGTTGTAATCTTGACTTGTGCAAAATTTTTACCATATATTAGAAAACGTTTGGAATATTATTCCATTCCGAAAATAATCATTTACATACAAAATATCCTATACTATTATTTGGGGAGTACACTTTATAATATACCCTTAACTAACCTTCCTTTTTGTAAGAATTTACTTAAGAATGCCATTACAAAAATCTTCTTTTAGAACAAATTTCATTCAATTTATTAATGATAAACAAGTAAAATACTAATTTATGTCATTTAATTAATTTAATTAAATTATAAAACGAAAATCTGTTATTATTATTTTTTTAAATGACCAATCAAAATGAACATATAAGATTTGATATCTAACTTACCATATTAATTTGTTATTAATCATTAAACTTCACCTCTCATCTTAATATGATTATATTAATATGAAACAAATAAATCATCATATCATCTACATAATAAAAAAAAGTAATTTTTTTCCTGCATATGCCAAGATTTGAATTTTTAAAAACGCATATAAATTGTTCAATCTATAAAGGAAACAATTAAACGAGTCAAAAATTCAGACTTGAGTAATATATTTCTTTTACACAAAAATAAAGTCAACAAAAATTCCGACTGAGCAACGGTGAGAATTTGAATATTTATATTCGATTTCATACATTTATATTTTTGAAATGTATAATTTTATATACTACAATAAAAATTTAAATATTTTAATTTGCAACATTTAAAATAAGTTTTACTTGATACTTTTAGAGAATATCATCAATACTTAATAGTTCAAAAAGTTAAAAATTATAAATACTCTAATTTGATTATTTTTAAAAATATTTATAATAGGTAGCGGTTAAATATAATATATTATATGATGAAATGTGTTTTGATCCTTATAACTATTTGAATAGTTATATTTAATTTCATATAATTTGTTTTTTGAAATTCATAATTTTCTAAACTACAAAAAAAATTTAAAGATTTTAATTTGGAATATTTAAAAATAGTGTAGAACATTTAAATATGGTTTGACACCTCTAAATATTTGAAAATTTGATTCCGCAAGCAATTTTAGAATTAACAAATAATAGATTGTGCACGCAATATTTTAAAATAAAATATTGAGATTCTAAAATGAAAATATAGACTCCACGCACGGGTTAATTTTGGTATTATTATATACTAAATATATGTTTATAACATATTCAATTATGCGAATAATTGGTAAATTCCGTAATTATAAATCTCAAACAAATTCTGTAATTAGATTAGCTCAAACAAATCTCTATTTCAACAACCAAAGAATTATAAATTGAAAAATAATCTTCTAAATTAATTCAAAATAATAGCTAATTTTCTTAATTAATTCAAAATAATATATGTCTTATATGCGATTCATTTATGATATTTTAATTTTTGATCTAACTGAAATATATGCAATCCTATATTGTGGTTGTTAACATAAATTAACTTATTGTTCAAAAAATATTACTTTTTAAAAAATAAAATTATTTTCCGTTTTTATATCTTAAAAACAAATTATCCATAATTGAGTATTATAGAAAAATTTCTATATTTATTCTAATATTTTATATAGGGACTGACAAAAAAATTAATATTTTTCACTTACTATTATAATATATTAAAACTTAGTTCTCATATATATATTATATAAATTTTGTAATAAATAAAATTCAACCCGTACTTTAGTACGGGTGATGATCTAGTTTGGTTATAAAATATCTGTTTGTTTTGTAAATTATTCCATCGTTGAAAAAAGAAAAAGAAAATTATTCAAGATTGCAATCAATTTATAAATTCTTTTTCTCATTTTGTAAACCTTACACTTAGTACGAGTACTATACCATCCTCGTCCACGTAATAACTGCCAGCTTTCAAACAACTTTCTTCATCATCAATCCATTGAACTGAAAATATTAAAGGTTATGACAACTTAACACGATATATGTATGCTCTGTATGTTGGGAGGCCAATCCCATACAAGGAAAAAATTTCCATATCCGGGACATTGGGCAGCTTTAACTCCATGACGACAAATTTCTAAAATATAATTTAGTCTTAATACTTTCTTTAAAGGAAACTAAAACATAAAACATATGGATTTAAGACCATGTGAAATAAGCACAATGTACAATTGATTTTCAGCTTACCAAAAAAAAAAATGTACAATTGATTTTCATACACTTAATGCGTTTAATCAGTTTTAAAATGCTAACATAGTTTGATTGCTATGAGATTATCAAGTATTTTTCAATGGAAATGCAGTTTGGAATTTATTTTGAAAACAACATTAGTCATATTACTTTTAGTGTCTTTGATTTCAATATTTTTGATTGTAAAACTAAAAACAAGCTATTTCTATAACCTTAGTCATATTATTAATTATTTTTTTTTTGTTAAATGGTAAATGTAGAAATTTATAATGTCAATATTGAGTATTAATTGTGTTAACATGTGCATAAGTTACACAATTATTACAAAGTCGTATATTTACTCAATTCAATGGTATTTTTAATTTTTAATTGTGTAAATATTATTTTCTTGAAGTAAAAAAGAATAATTAAATTATTTTTAAATCTCATGCTCACATGTTGCTGTCCAAGAGCTCATCAACCCATTTAATTAACTGCCCGGCCTTAACTAGAATATTTACATATTTTACTCAATAAATAGTAATATCCACTTTAACAAATTGTAATCGAAACTAGGACTAATATTTTCAAATACTGAATCTAGAAATATTTTTTGACTAAAAGTTTAAATTCTACCCCGGATGGAATTAATAACAGAAAATATTTAAATGACGAAACCAAAAACAGAAAATATTTAAAAGGATGAACATTAATAAATAATAGAGGATTACTGTAGCTAAAAAAATTTCAAATATTTTATTATTTAAGAGTACATGTGGCAGATACATTTGATACATTTCATCATTGTACATGTGAAAGCATATTCATTTACGAAATGAATCTCAAATTTTATCATAACTAACCAATTAATTATCACACATTTTATTTTTTAGAATCGAAACCCACTTATAATATACAGAAATAATTATGTATCAACATTCACATATAATATACGCTGTCAAATATATATATATATATATATATATATATATATATATATATATATATATATACACAAAACATGTATATATTTTTCTGAACCAAGATACAATCAAATTCACAAAACATATAATACATAAAAATTGTAATCTAGTTTTTAAGTGAATGAATTTATAAAATTATTTATTTTATGAAAAATGAGTTATAATACAAATAATCATCATATTATAGGCAAAGCATATTTTTACATAAAACAACTCAAAGTTATTATACATTTTTGCCATTACAATAGATTATATAGTTAATTCGAATTAACTTAATAATTATTTTTACCTGTTAGCTAGTTCTAATTTTAAATTTGACAAAATATTGACCGGTATGTACGAATAACAACGAAATAGCTGAATTATGAAATAGTGGAATCAATACAACGACAACGGTTTTAATCTAAATTAACAAATGATTGATTTACCTATTCAAAGCAATTTATACGAAGGACTGTCTTTAACAAAATATATTATTTCTTGCTATGGAGCCCGTAAAGGAGTTGTACATATTGTTGTAAGCACATTAGATGTTGGATATCTTACGCGTCGACTTGTTGAAGTAGTTCAACATGTTGTTGTACGTAGAACAGATTGTGAAGCTACTATTTCATGGATGAATGAATTTTCTATGATTTAGTTATAGTTTTAAAGCGTGCCGGATAAACTGAAAAATCATTTGTTATTTTTTACGTTTTATAGTTCAGCAGAAATTTTTGTAAATGGTTTGTATTCAATAGAATCACGTGTTGAAAACGTGAAAAAAGTTTTATATCATTCAAACCCTTAATTAAAATCTCGGGATATATCATTAGGATTTGATGCACATAAAACCATAAAGAGATATTTTGTGATATACCATGCATTTATAATAAGATCTTCTTTCTCTATGATTGGTTTTCCATAGGTCTAGTCTAACTGCCTAAACATTTAAGTACTCGGGATTTTAAATTTTAAAAAATATATTCAAAATACTCGGAAAAAAATCATACTTGTATCATCCAAATAATACCCAAATGACCCAAAAGTTTCCGACATGTCTAAAAAAGAAATTGTACTTGTGTCACCCAAATCTATCCATGTAACCCGACCAAAAAAATTGTAACGTTGTGTATTTGTGTAATTACAATTATTGGGTTTGGTACTGGTTCTTAGGGTCTAGAGTTTTATGTCCAGTTCGGTTCGAGTATATTTTTCAGTTCAGTTACGTTTACTCTTTTCGGATCGGTTATTTTGTCCATGCCTAGTTTTCCAGCAGAAATAGACACAAACAACGAAGCTAAACCAGAGCAAAGTAGAAAGCCTTTCTACTTTGATCAAAGGAGACGAAACCAAACAGAAGAAAATCTCTTTCTTTAGAATCGCTGCCTTAAACAACCCAGTGCTTGCAGTGCTTTTATTCGGATCCAATAGCCCTTGTCTTAAACGGGGTCGTAACTTTCGATTTTCGGGATTCTAATCTCAAGCTTGATAGAAAACCTTTCTCGTATAAACATTATTTCATTTAAATTAGTGATAAAATTATGTTATTATATAGTATAACTAATATTATTTTTATTTAAAATTGCATTCTGCGCCACGCGGGAAGCATCTAATTTTCCATTGTCACTTTAGAGTTTAAATGAGCCGAGATCCATCAGGACAAAGCACACAATAATATTTTAAAAGTAGAAAAAATTATCCATACAAAGCCAAGAACAAGTCTGAAAACTCAAAACCCCAAAAAAAAAAACGAAAAATAAATCTTCAAGCGACCATCAAACCTGTCTGAAACAAATCTGAATCCAACAGTCCTTGCATCTGCATATCTTTTTAAACACAAAAATCTTCAAGCCACCAATTCAACCTGAAAAACAAATTCCACAGATCGTTAACAAACCTTTTCGCACCTATCATCCCTACAAGCCAAACCTGAACCTGCAAAACTCTCAAAAACCGTAAGCATGCAATAACAAAGCCAGAGAGATTGGAAAAGCTATAAGAGTTGAAAATTAGATGACCAGAACGTTATGGTACAGAGAGTTATGGTTGCATTCGCTTTATTCCCAACTTGCACTTGTCATATTTTCCCTGACTGTAACAAACAAAGTTCTACATGCACATCGAACTCACACCAGAACAAAGCAAACACACACACACAATGATAAATTCGATGACACTATGACTATGAGTTACAAACAAAGTTCTACACGTACTACATCAAATTCATTCCCAATATAAGCATGAACACACAATGATAAGTTCTATGAAGTATGAACCAGGGGAGATTTGTGTAAACATAAGTGAATTATGAACCATCGTACACACATAGAGCAAACATAAGTGAAGTATGAACCAACCCTAGAAAACACAGGGAGAAAACTGGTTAACTCAGAAAAATGCTTTCTTTGCAATTACAGAAATGAGCGTTTAAAAAACTTGCAGCTTTAAGATGGTTGAGTTGATGAAAACAGTTTGGAAAACTGAGAATGGTTTCACAAATGCAAAACAGAAGTTCAGGGTGGTTCACATCATTGCAAGCAAGTAAGATAGCACATGCAAGGACTACTATGACTAACCACATGCTTGATTTGCACAAGAAAAGTTGTCAGCACTAACCAATCAATGTAAACTAAGCAAACTAATTAATTTTAATCACAGAGTTTCTGACCCTGCACAAACCTGCACAGCGGAAAATGGGCTGTGAGCTACGTTTGTTGATAACCTAACTGAATCTACCTGTTATTTGCATTTTCCTGCTCTTCTTTCTCCCTGTTCCATTGCTCAATCTTAGCACGTCTTTCCTCACTCCCATCCCTAACAAGAAAAGTTGTCAGCACTAACCAATCAATGTAAACTAAGCAAACTAATTAATTTAAATCACAGAGTATCTGACCCTGCGTAAACCTGCACAGCGAAAAATGGGCTGTGAGCTACGTTTGTTGATAACCTAACTGAATCTACCTGTTATTTGCATTTTCCTGCTCTTCTTTCTCCCTGTTCCATTGCTCAATCTTAGCACGTCTTTCCTCACTCCCATCCCTAACAGGACTTTTCTGTCTCCTTCCACTAGGACTTCTGCTTCTGTATCTCCTGCTCCTGCTACGGCTCTCACCATCATCATCATCATCATCATACCTTCTACTACGGCTATGCCTTTCATGAGAGCGATCGTCGTGACTACGATGCCTATAAGGACTCCTGCTTCTGCTATGGATATGCCTGTTTTTGTATCTTCCATATAACTGCCTCCTCAATCCACTGTCAAGTTAAGTTGATGGACGAGAGAGTCAGATGGTTTTAAGTACAACATAGGAAAACATATATGAACAACACATGACAAAAGAAGAAACATGTGAACCTGCTAATGCTTTTTAGGTGCATAAAGTTGCAGTATCCACCCCGTTTGCAAGTCTCTTCCTCATACTGTCGACAAGTAGCTTCACGAAAGTCGGTGACAGGGGAGAAATCAACAATGATTGGACGACCTGTGTTTCCAAATGTTCAAAAAAGTAAGACTAACATACAAGCCTGTAAGTAAAAAAAAAACTTCTTAAAACATTGAAGTCGCAACAAACCTGCATAGAATCTTCCTTGAAGATTGTGAAGCGCATTTCCTGCTTGCTCTTCTTCTCGAAACTGCACATACACATTACCAACCTACACAAGAAGATTGACATACTGTTATGATTCAAAGTCCAAGAAACAAACAATGAGAGAATGCTTAGCTAGTATCTCAAAAAACCATGTGGTCAGAGAGATTGTCACAGACATTTAAACTCTCAATCTCACCATACTTATTCAGCTCCTCAAAAAGATCCTCATAAAAATCCTGCACATTCACAATTACATACATTATCAAAAGCACATAACATAAATCAATCATTCACCAGAATTACAAAAGATTCGCAAACAAAAACTCAAAGCATACTTCACAATCTTCAAGAGCATAATCAAAATCCCTAAAAAAAACTTAAATAACATCAATTATTCGCAAATTCAATCTCCTGAAGAAAAAAAGAAAGTTACAAACCTCGAAGTGTGCTTGCATCTTACGAGGATCGATACGGTTTCCATTGACATCGACACCAGGAGTGATCATATCGGGACGTTGATACATATTCGAAAGGAGAAGCGTAGGGCTTATACTTGGTTTGGTGTGTAGACGCGAGCATCGATCTCCGTGACGACAAGCGCCGATTTTGAAGTAGAAATGACAATTCGCACGATCCTTCTCCGTTCCGAAAATCGACGCTAAGTGCTCCGCCATCTTCCAATAGCTTTGTGAAGAACAGTAAACTCTTCTTCTTCGTGGAATTAGGTTTTATTTACTTGCTATGCCTAAAAGATGTTTCTGGAACAGATTTAAGTTGTTATTTACTCTTTTACCCCTATATTTTTAACTATTTACAAACCAACCACAAAACTTGTGTTAAATTGGGCCGAAGCCCATAATCCATATAAGTGAAGACGACGAGTGATACAAGAGTGGTTCGACACAACAGTGCCAGTACCACTCAGTGACTTAGGTTATAGGGTTTGGTTGGTTGGTCGTCTTCAAGCTTTGATAGTTTGGTTGTGGTATTTCAATGGGGAATGAGAAATTCACTTGGGTGATTAAGAATTTCTGTTCTTTGCAATCTGAGTCCATTAATTCTGATGTATTCGTGATCGGTGGCTGCAAATGGTAAAGAAGAAGACAACTTTGTTATATCTCTAATGTTGTTGTTTTTTTCGTCCAATATAGGTTTATGAGAACATCCTCCATTGTTTTATTTTTGCTTGCAGGTATCTTGCGGCTTATCCCAAAGGAAAATATAAGGCTGATTATTTGTTTCTATTTCTGGTGGTAGCTGATTTTAAAACTTTGCCATATGGATGGAAAAGACACATAAGATATCGCCTAACTTTCGTAAATCAAATCTCCTATGGACTCTCCCTACTAGGAGGTGAGTTCTATAAAGTTCGTATTTTGTGAATTCTATTTGGGTTTTGTGTTATGTCAGTTCTATCTTTTCGTGGTCTACAGGAAAAGAAGAATGGATAGGTAAATACCGTCCTCTCTGCGGGTATCAAAAAATGATTCTTCTTACCAAACTTAATGACAAAAAGGGTGGATTTCTTGTGAACAATGAAGTCAAGATTGTTGTGGAGGTAGATGTTCTTCAAGTGATTGGCAAATTAGATGTTTCTGAGGAATCTCAAGAGGTAACTCAACCTCTGAAAAGGATAAAACTAAATGGTGATGGTGTGGTAACTTCATCAGTAGATGTCAATGGGTTTCAAGTTCTTCCTTCAGAGGTAACATGTTCATAAAGATTAATTCAAACTTTTTAGATGCGTTATTTTACAAAGGAAGTGACTTGGATAAATGCCTATATAATATATCGATTTCAAACTGGTGAGACTTATCATCATTTACCTCTTTGTTGTTGCTAATTTTGGACTAGATGGTTTTTTTGTGTTTTCAATTTATCAGTAGAACACATCTTAATACAGAGAAAATGTAGGAAATTAAAATGGTATCTTTAAAGTCTATCATTAAGGTTATGGGTATGTATACATATTAGTTTACATTTTATTCATCCTTTTTTACAACTGCAGGCGGAATCTGTGAAACGCATATTCGAAAAACACCCAGAAATGGCACTAAAGTTCCGGGCAAAGAACCAACATCTGAGGACATCATGCATAAATGTCGTCCTCAGCCTAATCAAAACGTTGTGTCAATCACTGCAAGACATTTCCATTGATGACATGGGACAAGCAGAGCAAGCACTAACATATCTGAATAATTCGGGCTTTAAGGTGGATTGGTTGGAGGGTAAACTGGAGGAAGTAAAGGAAAAGAAGATGGAAGAGCTGTTTGGTAAGACTCGGATGCAAGAATTAGAGGAAGAACTCAAGGTCTTTAAAAGAAAGTGCTCTGACATAGAAGCTATACTGGAGAAAGAGAAAGAAGAACTCAAGGACTTGAAGCAAAAATGCTCAGACACAGAAGCTCTACTTGAGAAAGAGAAGACAAAGGTGTTGGCCGCCGCCAGAGCTCCTCCTCTAACGTTGGATGATGTTGTCTGATGACGTAGGGTCTGCTAGGTGTTATGTTCGTTTGAGTCTAGGCTTCAGAATTAACATAGGAAGCTAGAGAAACTTCTGTCTACTGGAAGCTCCTATATTTTGTAAAGAGCTAATCTTTTTGTTAAAAGGACTCGCTAGGACTAGGATTTTGTTAGTTGTCTCTTTCGTGACTATGTAACTGTATTATCGCTGGCAAAGGTGAACCTACTAAGTGTACTTTTCAGTATTCAGCTATAATCTTAGCTTATTATGCAAATCAAAGTTAAATTTTGTCTTAAACCAAGTTTAGTTTTACGAGGTTAAAAACCAGCAACGGATACAATAATCCCCTCTGCAAAAAGGCATTTCAAAGATGTATTTAAGCGAATTTAAGGTGTTTTGCCACTTTAAGGTTGTCTGATCATTAATTCTCTTATGTCTCATATAGCTCGTAATGATTATAGGGAGAGTAGCTTCCTGCATAACAGTCATTTGTCTCGTATCCAACATCCTTGACTGCTCTTATCGATTTGGTGGATAATGGATTCGGTTAAAAATACTTTAGCATATAGAGTAACTCTCAATCAAACAGAGTCTGTCACTTGCAAAGAAGATAAATACTTCTGGAGCATCCTAATAACAGTTCAAGCAAAACTCTGAGGACACATAATAAGATCTAAGCTGAGTCAAGCTCATAACATAAGATTGGCACCCAATTCATAGATAATGCTCTCACTGTCTACCCATTCCCTCACTACTCATGCAATTTTCATTATACTTGTACAAGAACATTAGAGGCAGAACGTATAATGTTTTTACTATCTCTAGTCCAAGACTTGGATCATATACCTTTTGAAGACATGAAAACACTGGTGGGTTTGTTTGTTGCTACTATAACAGGGAAACAAAACAAAAAAAAATATGTGAAGATCTTGACACAATGCAGCGATCACATTTTGTTTGGACAGTATAGAACGTTTCTGGAAGCCGCAGGTTTATAGCGTTATCGATTGATAACGTTTGTTGACAAAATTGGGGTATCAGGCTAATAATTTAGCTAAGAAAAACTGTTAGGGTAAACTTTTTATAGTGACAGACCCCACCGCAAAGCGGCCCCATATCCAGGAAAAACTCCACCTCCAGCCTGGACCTACGGGTTAGTATACACCGCTTGCCCCTACTTGTATGGAGGAGTTTTTATTTGGAGAGGTTCAGTACCACCGTGGTGACAGAGAGACTCGAACTCGAGACCTCTGGCACTCATCTGTGAGAAGGAAATACCACTAGGATACCATCACTTCTCGCTTGAACATATAATTTTGAAAAAACCCTCACCTGGCGCGTGTCCCCCACGCGCTTCTCCGTTCTCTCACATCTTTTTTGCATCGAGGAAAAACAGAGAGCTTCGCTTTGCCTCTCCGGTGTGCTTCTCCGGCACCGGAGAGGGCTTTTTCTTTCTTCTATTTCTGTTTTAGCTTCTCTCGCCAATCTCCGTCTTCGTCTTCTTCCTCGCGTTCTGCCGGTTTTGGCCGTGGCTCTCCGTCTTCTCTGGCTTCTCTTGGTGGTGGCTGTTGGA